TGAGGTGTGGCCTGTGGAGGTGGAGCCCTCCGTGGGGGCTCCGTGGGCCGGGCGGGCCTGCCCTCTGGGCATTCTGTCGGTGCGTGGGGCTCAGCCCTGGCCTCCCCGTCACTGGCCTCCTCAGCCCCACCTGCCAGGCGCACGTCCAGGGGGCCCACAGACCACTGGGAGGACGCTGCTCAGCCCCCAGGGCGCGTGCTCAGGTGTCAAAGCTTGCCGTTCACAGAAAGCTCCTCCTTCAGGCTTTTACTCCTATTCCTACCTTCATCTCACTAAGATTCCTAATCTAAAAGTTGAGTATACTGGAAAACTTACACAATCCATGGATCTGCCCCAGGGTTAGTAGGGAAAAACCAGCTGTCCACTGCAGCTGGCTGAGACACGAAGCCACTCTTTGCAGCTGCTCTGCAGCTTGCTGAGATGTGGGGTCCCCTTCCAGCTAAGAGCATGCTGACAGCTGCCTGGGCCGCACCCATGGCCCCGCTCTCCTGCCTGTTACCCTCTCCTTAACATGGACTTCCTGGAGCCTGAACTCAGGGCCTGGGCTCTCACGATCCCTTAGCTTTTTCACTCCAGGCTAGCGCTCTATCCCTTGAGCCACTCCTGGTTGGTGGTGAATTGGAGATCAGCACCTCAGACTTTGCTGCCTGGGCTGGCTTTGAAATGAGATCCTCAGATCTCAGCCTCCTGAGTAGTGAAGACTCAAGTTTATTCTCACCTTGGAGGAAACCTTAAAGTACCAACTGAATGTGTGAAACGTGGGGTTGGGACTAACCTGGCATGTTCCTCCCCTCGGTCTTCTCTGGACGTGCCTTTGTAGCCAGCAGCCGGCAGGTTGTGGGGATCTGTGTGTGGATCTGAGCCGAGGCAGGCAGGGCAGCTGCCGGCCAGGGCCCTGCCCTGGGGCCTCCAGCCTCTGCCGACTGTCTTGCTGTATGCTGGCAGAGATAGCGTGTGTGGGTTTCACGGGTGACTGTTGGCATTGTCACACTGTCATTCTGCACGGGCATCCAGCAGCCAGGCATCTTGACCGGATGTGTTCTCTCCAGAGGCTGGCCGAGTGGAGATGCTAGACCATGCCGTCCTGCTGCAGGTGATCAAAGAGCAGCAGGTGCAGCAGAAGCGCCTCCTGGACCAGCAGGAGAAGCTGCTGGCTGTGATCGAGGAGCAACACAAGGAGATCCGCCAGCAGAGGCAGGACGAGGAAGAGGACAAGTCCAAGCCGGGTAGGCAGGGCCTGTGGGCTGGGCAGGTACTGAGTTGAAGCATGTCTCCAGGGGTCGGGTCTGAGGCTCAGTGGCCTGAAGGTGTAGAGGCTGTCTTTCTATCTGGATCCAGGATTCTCACCTGTGGGCAGGGAGTCCTTGGAACAGCCATCTGCGTCCATTTGCATACTAAACCGATGGCCATGTTCCTTTGCAGCAGACATGCAGCCCGAGCCTGGGGTAGTTGTGCCCAAAGGACAGGAGGTGGTCCAGGAGGGGCCTGCGGGGGACATGGTGGAGGACGCCTCTCCGCAGCCTGTGCAGTCTATGCTTGGAGGTCCTGGGGGTCACCCCACGCCACTCCAAGAATTGGGCCAGGATTCCATGGTGGAGGCCAAGGAGCGGCCTGGTGGTGGCTCTGATTCAGAGCCCCAAGCAGCCCAGCCTCAGCCCAAGCGGAGGGACCAGAAGGACGCCGTGCCCAAGGTGGTGGACACTATGAAGGACTTGGAGCCAGGGCCCAGGCCGGACCCTCCTAGGGCACCTGGGATCCTGGAGAAGCACCTGGCTGAGGAAGTCCCCAAGTTGGGCCTGAACGGCGTTGGTGGAGGTTCCCAAGAAAGGAAGCGTTCTGAAAAGGAAGTGGCCGCCGCTGGAGCTGACCGGCCAGGAGCAGGAACTGGTGGGCAGGCTGGGGATACTCCAGTGAAGCGGAGGCAGTCGAGCCGAGACCTGGGGCCTGTGGTGGGCCCGTCTCATGGACCAGCAGGAATGGCCCCTGAGTCCCAGGCTGTGTTGGGTCAGCAGGAACCCCAGGCCGTCTCCAGTAAGGACCAGGATAGTCCCCCAGAGGCGAGAAAAGAGGCTCCCGGAGGGGACCGCGCACCTGCTCCTCACCAGCAGCAGAGAGCAAGGGAGGACGCCGCCCTCCGAGAGCCCGTTCAGAGGCCAGACCCAGACCCCGAGCCTGGGCCTAGACTAGCTGTCCTTGGGGGTCAGAAGCCAGACAATGCCAAACCCAACAGAGACCTGAAAGTGCAAGCCGGTGCTGACCTCCGGAGACGGCGGCGGGACGTTGCCTCTGGCCCCCGGGGGGAGCCGGCCCCCAGGGATGGGGTCATCATCAGCTTTAACCCCCTGCCTGACGTCCAGGTGAATGACCTCCGCGGAGCCCTGGATGCCCAGCTCCGCCAGGCCGCGGGGGCCGCGCTGCAGGTGGTCCACAGCAGGCAGATGAAGCAGCTGCCAGGGGCCCTGGAGGAGGCCTGAGCACAGCCATGCCGCCGTGCTGGGCTGCTGGCTGCCGTCCTGTCAGCGGGGGACTCGTGAGGCCCCACCACACGATGTCGGCAGCACTTCCTCCGAGCCCTCCGGCGCTCTGCGGCCGGGGCTCCCGCGGGCCCTGCAGCCAGCTGGCCAACACCGACACGCAGACTGCCCGCCCAAGGCCCGCTCGCAGACCAGCCGTACTTCTCACTGACCTCTGCCCCACTGGCCGAAGGGTTAATCCAACTCATGCCCTCTGCGGGAAGCTGTGTTCCAGCCTGCCTCTCGTTCCTCAAGAGTCATCTCCACATTCTCCGTGCTGCTGCAGGAGACCTCCGTAAGCACCGCCCCCATCCCCGCGTCTAGGGGTGCTGCTCGAGGCCCAGGGGGTGGCCTGATGCCTTGGGTGGACACAGGGTGTGTCTCCCCCTGAGGTCCATTTTTTGAAATTGATTATAAATTAAAAAAAAAAAAAGTAAAAGACCATTTACACTTGTGAGTCAAGTTGGAACAGAGGTGACCTGAAGGAAAAGCCCTGAGTTGGTTCTGGAAGGTGTGGGGGGGGGAGGAGGGGGGAATCATCACGGCTGGGAAAGACCCGCCGACTGGGCAGCCTTGCTGTGGGGTGGGGGCTGTGCCTCCTGTGAGCACAGCAGGCTTCCTTCACGCCCATGCTTGCATGGGCCCGCCTGAGACGGAGGAGCCAGGCAGCCGGAGTTGCCGCCGCCCCCCCCCCCCCCCCCCCCCGCCAGTGCGCGCGGCAGCCTTACTCCAGGTACCACAGCAGGAGAGCATGGGTTTGCCATCTCTGGCAGACAGGGAGGGTACGCTTTGTCATCTGTTGGTCCAGAAGAGGCAATGGTGAGACAGACGGGAGGAGCCTAGCCTGTTCCCTTCCCTGAGTGCACCCCAGGCCCTGCCATGAGGGGCCTGGAAAGACCCCACGTGTGGACGTGCTCTGGAGTCCTGGTGTGGCTGTGTATGGCCAGATGTTTGGTCTTGTGACACCTGGTGGCCAGGCCAGCATTCATAGGCTGGCCCCCCCAGTGAGCCACCTACAAAACAGCTGCCCCCTTGGCAGCCCCAGGGCCGGGTCATGGTGACGTAGGCTACTGCTCGTGGTGCCTGCCTCTGCTGTAGATGAGGGGCATAGGGACACCGGAGCCTGGCCAGCAGTGTGCCACTGCATGCGGCAGCTTTGGAGAACTTCCTTAGTTGGGGCCAGGACATTTGCTGTCAGGTTGATATGGCCCGACATTCAGCACTGCTCTGGGTGCAGAGGTGGACCTCAGCCTCCATCCTCACCCTCACTGGTGGCAAGGGGCCCATAGGATGCTCACAGCCTTCAGCACTGTGTTTTAGCCTTACCGCCCCCGGATGCAGCAGACACCAGCACAGGACCTTGGACTTCCAGAGTCCAGACTGAGAAATACATTTCTGTTCTTTGCAACTTGCCAGTTTCAGTATTCTGCTGGGCAGCCCAGATGGACAGACAGATATGCAGGAGCAGTCCCACACAGAACCCATCGGCTGGGGAGGCAGCCCGAGGACAGAGAGGGTGGGAGCAAGTCACCAGAGGATCGGGAGGAAATTTGGTTGAGGGGCTGAAAGTGGCTCCAGAGGCCTGAGACAAGGTTGGAGGCCTGGGCTGCGCCAGGAGAAGACTGCTGTACCTGGGATGGGGGTGGAAGCACAGACAAATCACCAGTGGCCTGACCGGTGTGGCCAGCGTGGCTGACACTTGGTCAGAACACGGAAGTCTGTGCCATGAGACTTGGTCCCGGGTTGAATTCCAGGCAAATTTAGGGACACTTAGTGCTTCTGAGACAGTTGTTCCTGGGCAACCCCTCTATTGGTTACCACAGTGGTGGCAGCTCAGCCCAGGATGAAGCCAGAAATGGTCCCCTAAAACCCACCACTGCCCTGCCCAGTGGGACCTAGCCATTCCAGAGCCTCTACAGTGGCTGACTTCCACTGTCCTGGAAGCCACGTTTCCAAGCGGATTGCCTCCCAGAAACAGCAGGACCACCACCCTGAGGAGACTCAGAGACGGAGTAGTCCCTGTGGTGCCCAGCAGGTGGCACACAGTGCAGCATGACGCAGGGGCACAGCCACGCTGGTGAGGAGCACACTCCATGTCGGACCTGTGTAACCTGTGGGACGTGGGGAGCAGAGCCAGGAGGGGCGTACCTCGGCTTTGGCGCAGGCAGAGGCTGCAGCGCAGGGGTGCCTTCTGCACATGGAAGGGGCTGGCGCAGTAGGGCGCTCTTGGCAGCCGAGCACTTGGCTGCTTTAGTCCAGCCAAGTCCTGCCCAAGCTCAGGTCTCCCTCGCAACCGGCTCCCCTTTTGTGGTGGCTGGGCTTCCATCTTCGGGGTGCCCTGGGCCTGGCTGTCAAGTTAGAGGCACAGCTTCTTTAGAGTAGATACTTCTGGTGAAGCAGTGCCCCGGGGGCGGAGCTCCACAGCCTAGACCTGCCGTGTACACTATGTATAAAACGCTTGAAATGAAAGATTTAATAGAATTCCACTGCTGGTTCACTCACATTTTAATCTGACTTAGATGCTTACATATACAACACTGGAAAACACCCAAGCACGCCACTGCTCACACCTCCTTTCAGCCCCAAGAGCATCCGTGTGCGCCATCAATATGAGGCATTGTGCCCAGCCCATGGGCAGTGGTGGATGTGAGGACCAGAGCTAAGGTTCTTCCTAAGAGCCTCCCATCAGGGCCTTCTCAGCCTGAAAAATAAAGCATTTCATCTGAATGGTCACTTCCCAAGTTATGACTTAATAGTAAAAAAAACTACCACATTCTACCGTGTATCTCACAGAAAACTTGGGAGCTGGTGTGTGGCAGGGGCCCCGGGGGCTGGGTGGAGATTGTGCCAGGCGCCGGCAGGGGTGGCGGGGCTGCCACGAGGGAGGCGGCATTGGTTCATTAACTTACTTGAAGTTAGGATTCTGGGAAACGAGTGCGTGTGTGCAGAACGGACACTGTGGGGCAGACCCAGAACCGCTTCCCACCCGGAGTTCCAATTCCCCGTGAGTCCACGGGGTCAAGAGCAACGCAGCTGCTTGGGAACACGGGTTCCCCACTATCGGCTCCTCCCGGTCCTGTTCTGGAACATTCTCTACAGCTAGCTCCACCAGCCCGCTCAGGCAGCAGCACACACTGCGGGGCGCGGCGAGGGCCGGGGCCGGGGGCCGTTCCCAGCGCTGGGGCCGCGCCGTGGAGACCTCGGGCTCTCCTCGGCCCCTCGGCGAGGGCCGCCGGGCAGGACCACCGGGCGCCCGCAGGGGCGGCGGCGCGTCACCTACCGCGGCCGAGAAGCACCTGCGCAGGGCCTCGAACTCCCGTGCGCAGAGGTCCTTGTTGAGGCGGCCGCCCGGGGCGGTGGAGGCCTGCACGCACTTGCCGTAGGCTGCGGCCTGCGGGGAGACGGCGCGGTCAGGGCCCGGGCCCCGACCCCGGCCCCGGCCCCGGCCCCGGCCCCCGACCCCCGACCCCCGCCCCAGCCCCCGCCCCCGACCCCCGCCCCGGCCCCGGCCCCGACCCCGGCCCCCGCCCCGACCCCGGCCCCGGCCCCGGCCCCGACCCCGGCCCCCGCCCCGGCCCCGGCCCCGACCCCCGCCCCGGCCCCGACCCCGGCCCCGGCCCCGACCCCGGCCCCCGCCCCGGCCCCGACCCCCGCCCCGGCCCCCGCCCCGGCCCCCGCCCCGGCCCCGGCCCCCGCCCCGGCCCCCGCCCCGGCCCCCGCCCCGGCCCCGACCCCCGCCCCGGCCCCGGCCCCCGCCCCGGCCCCCGCCCCGGCCCCGGCCCCCGCCCCGGCCCCCACCCCGGCCCCCGCCCCGGCCCCGACCCCCGCCCCGGCCCCGGCCCCGGCCCCGGCCCCCGCCCCGGCCCCCGCCCCCGACCCCCGCCCCGGCCCCGACCCCCGCCCCGGCCCCGACCCCGGCCCCGGCCCCGGCCCCCGCCCCGGCCCCGGCCCCCGCCCCGGCCCCCGCCCCGGCCCCCGCCCCGGCCCCGACCCCCGCCCCGGCCCCCGCCCCGGCCCCGGCCCCCGCCCCGGCCCCCGCCCCGGCCCCGGCCCCGGCCCCGACCCCCGCCCCGGCCCCGACCCCGGCCCCCGCCCCGGCCCCGGCCCCCGCCCCGGCCCCCGCCCCGGCCCCGGCCCCCGCCCCGGCCCCCGCCCCGGCCCCGGCCCCCGCCCCGGCCCCCACCCCGGCCCCGGCCCCGACCCCGACCCCCGCCCCGGCCCCCGCCTCCGCGCCGGCTCCCGCCCGTCCTTCTCCCACGCCGCCGACCCACGCAGGCGCGGCCCCGCCCGCGGCTTCTTACTTGGGCCCCGCAGGCCGCCAAGTGCTCGGGGAAGGCGCGCATGCGAGTCCGCACACGCCCCCACACAGCTCCGTTCCCAGACATGACCGGCCCTTTCTGGCACCCGTGGGCTCCGCCATATTGGGTCCCTCCTCTTCCGGCGTCCAACGCTTGAACGGCGAGCACTTCCGCCCGTAATCTTTCCTGATCTTCCTGGTTGGCCTGCGTTGCCTGCTCTGAGTCGTACAATTGGCTCTCTTGCTTGTCTGTCTCTGTTCCTCGAGTTCGGATTGGTTCATACTCAAACTGCCCTCGAAGCCAAACTTGGGTCCCTCCCCAGCGGGTGATTGGTCGGCGGGGCTAGGGTCGCGCGGTGATTGGAGAGCCTGGGCCTGGCGGAAGTGGGGCGGCCGGGAGGTGACCCGGACCATGGCGGCCGCGCCGCCGCTCCGGGACCGTCTGAGCTTCCTGCACCGGGTGAGTGAGGCCAGCCCGGCGCCCGGGGACCGCGCTGGAGCTGCGGGAACGGCCGAGCTCGGCGAGGGAGCGGAGGGACTGGAGCGGCCCCGCGCTCCCGGAGGCCGGAGGGAGAGCCTCGAGGCCTGGAGACGCGCCCGGGAGCGCGGACGCCGCCAGCCGGCCGAGGCCCGGGGAAGCCCACCTCCGCGGGGCTCCGCGTGGGGCGCTCGGGGCGGCGGCCGGCGTGGGCCGGACCCTCCCCCGGGGCCCGGGCGTGCCCGGCCGGTAGCCGGTGTGGCTGCGCCGGGGCCCCCCGTGGGGCGCGGGATCCACCTGACTGGCCCAGCCCGGGTTCGTCACCCGACGCCTCCCCCCCACCATTTTCAAGTTTAAGCATTGCTGGACCCCCCCCCCCCCCACACACACTGTGTGGGAAATACCAGACCGTGAGGACAAGCGTCTCGCTGGGTTTCTTTTTGCCCGAACTAGAACTGGCCTCGGGGCCTCACTCATTTGACTTTGTCCGCTCACAGCTGGTGTTTTACCACGCAAGCTACACCCCACTTTTGCGTGTCCGTTGGCTGTTTCTCAGTTTTGCCTGCCTAGGCTGGGCTGGCTTCAAAACCCAATCCTCAATATCTCAGCATGGGTACCTGGCTGTTTCCAGTTTTCAGAGCCATAAACTACATTATTTGCAACACCGTGCTAGTCACGTAAGCCCGTACATCTATGACGTTGCCCGGATGTGAAACTTGGGCTGTTCTCAGGAAGGTGCCTGCTGCCAGGCTGGTGGTCCTGGTTTTTCTGCTCATGCCATCATCTCTGGTGGCTGTGCTAGGTGGTAATTGTTAGTGGCTCTTGTTCCCTCACAGCTCCCTATTCTCCTGAAGGGAACATCAGATGATGACATCCCGTGTCCTGGCTACCTCTTTGAAGAGATTGCGAGTATCCTTCCTCGGTGTTTCTGGCATGGCGGGGAGAGGATGTCAGGGGCCCTGGTACAGCATGCCCGTTGCCAGGAGCCCTGCTATGCCAGGGCCATCCAGGGCTCCTTTACCGTAGGAACTGGGTATGGGCTCTGCTCAGAAAGAGCAGTGCCATGCTTGGGGCCCAGTGTTCCTGAAACGAGGCCTGTGGTAGGTACCTGCAGAGGGGGTAGCCCAAGGAGACCAAGGGCAGCAGGCAGGCAGACTGCTCGCTGCCAGTGTGCCTTGGAGTGGCCTAGCATCAGCTTGCTCCTTCCCTAACCGGAGCATGTCCCAGAAATCTCCCACGAGTCCCTGGGCAGCAGCCAGTGCCTGCTGGAGTACCTCCTGAACCGCCTGGACAGCAGCTCTGGCCACGTGAAACTCAAGGTGAGTTCTGGAGTGGCCCTGTTGGGCTCCAGCTGCTGCTGGTAAGCGGCCAGGCTACAGGGGTGGATATGCAGCCCGGACGGCGGCGGGTGGCTGGGCCTTGCCACGCCTGCGAACCTGCCAATTCCCCAGGTGCTAAAGATCTTGCTCTACCTGTGTGGCCACGGCTCATCCTCCTTCCTACTCATCCTCAAACGCAACTCAGCCTTCATCCAAGAAGCCACAGGTAGGGGGTGGGAGGTGAGTGATAAAGGTGTGCCCAGGGGCGCCCGGGGAGGGAACTGTAGAGAGAGGAAGCTGTCTATATGGGTTTGTGCAGGGGTGGAGAGGGAAATCCACGCAGACAAAGCTTGGAGACAGTTGGCTGGGATACAGAAATCGTGAACTGCCAGACCGTAGCTTTTCAACAGAGGGAGGCTGAGCTGAGAACCAAGTGCTTGGGCTTTGGTAGAGATCACGGTTTTCCCTATCCATCCAGGGAAGGCTCTAAAAGTTTATGTTGGTTAGAGGAGTGGGCCAAAGAGAGCAGTCGGGAGTCCTGGCTCGGGTGGGGTGAGCTGGGCGGCAAGCTGGCTCAGCTCTGGGGGACAGGCGCTGCCAACGGCCACTGATGGACTCAGCACTGTGGGAGGTGAAGGGGCCCGAGGCTCTACATAGGGTCCCAAGGGAGGGGGCCCGGGTCAGCCATGGGGGAAGGGACTGCCCTGTTGGGGCAGCCCTGGGGGCGGGGGGGCAGCCAGCCGTGTTTGTGTCCAGCCCTGGCCCCATTCTACCTTCTCTGCCTTGAAGTGTTTGCAGGGCCCCCAGACCCTCTTCATGGGAACAGCTTGTACCAGAAGGTGCGGGCGGCTGCCCAGGTGAGTCTGGTCCTGCAGCACAGGGGGCCTGTGCTGGAATGCTCCCTGTGCTGGCCCTGCCCCTGGCTGCAAGCCACAGCCCCCGTGGCTGGACGACAGCAGAGCGGCAGGGGACAGGACCGTGGGTCGCTGAGGGCTTCTTTCTTGTCTAGGACCTGGGTAGCACCTTATTCTCTGACGTTCTGCTGCCACTCCCGCCCTCCCAGTCACCCAGGGCCCCTCCCCCCGCAGGTACAAGACCCCCATGACCACGGCCAGCCCATCATGGGCCTCTCCCTCTGCCAGTGTCCTGGGAAGGGGCGGGCCTGCGCTGACACTGTGTCCTTCCCCAGGCATGGGCTCCCAGGCCAGGCCTCACAGCGCCCTGCAGGGTTTTGGCTACAGTAAGGAGCCGGGCCGAGCAGGTAAGGAGTGAGGGCCTTTGCGGGGCTCAACATGGCTGGGGAACAGGGATTGGAAGGGCCGTCCCCTCTCCCCACCCCCCAAGCTGCATTTCCCACCCTCCTTCCTGAGTTCCCACTGCCACTCTGTCTGTCCAGCTGAGAGGAAGGCTGGATGGGTGTGGACAGGCCTCTTCACAGACAGGTAAGAGGAGCTAGGCTGAGACATGGCATCTGGGTGTCGGTCGCCCTGCTAGACGGGTGAAGTGGCAGTCTGGAACAGAGTAAGAGTAGAGCGGCCGCAAGTGGGAGTTGTGCTGGCAGGCTGGAGCAGCACCCCCAGAGGCTGATGGTTAAGGGTGTGCATGGCCATCTGCAGTAGCTTCCAAGTGACCCCAGCCTTGCTCCAGGGCTGGAGGTCAGACTTTGGTACAGGCGGTCTGGTCATGGCTCTGAGGGCTTTGGCTGACTTTGGTTGGGGGCATTCCTTCCCTGGCCTGAGCCTTTAAGCGAAGGCAAAGACGCTCTTTCTCAGAACAAGTTTCAGGATGCCCGGGCCTTAACTGCTGTGAGTTGAGTGCCCAGAAGTACTAAAACAGAGGGTTCCAGGAAGCTTCCAGAAGAGACTGAGGACCTGCAAGGGGCTCTCTGCCCTGTAGTGTGATCCGATCTCCTTCGCACTTGGGGGGGGACACGCCTCCATTGTGAGGAACGTGGGGACAGTCAGTGGGGAGGCCCAGGCGCTGATGCCAGCCCTTCCTTCTGGGCACAGGCTCTGCGGGCGAGGCCATTCTGGCCACTGTCCAGAGAGCTGCGGAGGTGGTGGCCAAAGCTGTGCGCCCTGGGCCTGAGCTTGCTGCACAGAGACCTCTGCCACGGAGCGACACCTACCAGCCTGCTGTGACGCCTCCAGCCGGCCACCGTCACCCCCCTGCCCGGAGCCTGCTTCCAGGGGCTCGAGGTATGGAGGTGAGGGCCCTTCCCTTGGGTCTGGTCTTCCTTCATGTCACTCATGGGGCACAGAGGCAAATGGTCAGGGCCGCCTCACCCAGCCAGCGCCACGGCCCAGCTCAGGGCAGGGGGAGTGGCGTGGGAAAATCAAGAAGCAATAAGCCAGTCAGGTACTGGTGGCTTCCACCTGTAATCCTGCGTACCTAGGAGGCTGAGGTCTGAGGTCTGAGGTTTGAAGCCAGCCCAGTCTGTGAGACTCTTATCTCCAATTAATTACCAAAAAAGGCAAACATGATCTGTGGTTCAAGTGATGGAGTGCTAGCCTTGAGCACAAAAGCTCAGGGACCGCACCCAGGCCCTGAGTTCAAGCCCCAGGACTGGTACACACAAGTCAGGGAGATTTTGGAGTCTGCTTAGGAGGCCGCCCATGCTCAGTTCAGGGCTCAGTCCCAGTCTCTCGTCCAGGGAGGCAGGAAAGAGGCCAGCCCTGAGCTCCAGAGCGCTCACCTGCTCCCCCTCTCTCCCAGCTGTGAGACACCAACCTGGGCAGGCCGGAGGGGGCTGGGAGGAACTGGACAGCAGCCCCAGCTCCCAGAATTCCTCCCGGACCAGTGACCTGAGCAGGGCCTCAGACTCTGGCAGTCGGTGTGGCAGCGACAGCTACTCAGCGGCCGGCCGGGAGCTAGGCAGCCTGGCGGAACGGTGAGCAGGACAGGATGTCTCCCTCCCTGGCCCCGGGGCCCCCCGGCGGGGGAGGGGGAGGCCGGTGCCGCACAGCCGCACACGCAGCGGCCAGCCGCCTCTACCCAGCCGTGTTTCTGCCAGGGCCGAGGCCGTGGCCCCGAGTGACTGCCAGCAGGAGCTGAGCCTGGTGAGGGCCGTGGCACAAGGGCCACGTGCCTTCCTGAGCCGGGAGGAGACGCAGCACTTCCTCAGAGAGTGAGCCGCCCGCCGCGGTGCCCGGGGCTGCCACCCCGGGACGGGCAGGAGGGAGGGAGGACGGGTCTGTGGCTGCCCTACCCACACATCCCCTCCCTGGCACAGGTGTGGCCTGCTCAACTGTGAGGCGGTGCTGGAGCTGCTCCTCTGCCAGCTAGGCCAGGCCAGTGAGGGCGAGCAGATGGTAAGGGCTGGAGAGTGGGCCTGCTCTGTGTGTGTGTGTGTGTGTGTGTGTGTGTGTGTGTGTGTGTGTGTGTGTGTGTGTGTTCATTCGTTCATGTGTTCGTTCATCTGTGTACGGTGTACGTCGGGAGTATGCCTTGTTGGCAGTGTGCCAACTGAGTGCAGGGCGGGTCCCCTGGCTGGCTGGGGGCCACCCTGGGAAGGGCAGTAGGGAGAGGACCGCTGTGTGCTCTCCCCGCCAGGAGAGAGGAGGTGTGCGTGGGGCTCCCAGAAGGGCCTCGCAGCGAGGGTGGGGCAGTGTCCAGTCATTGATTCTCTGTCCCCCTGTTCCCCTCCTCCCCCTGCCCCCGTAGAGATCCCTGTGTGCCGTCGCCTCCCTTGCTAGCGCCGACCTCCTGCCCCAGGAGCGCATCCTCCTCCTCGCCCAGCAGCACCTTCGGGAGCTCAGTGCCGGCAGCCCAGGACCCGTGACCAGCAAGGCCACCAAGGTGTGCAGCAGCCAGGCCTGCGTGCGCCGGGGCCTGGGAATGGCAGAGGCTGCCCCGGCTGCCCCAGCCGTGGTTCCCACCCTGCCCCTTCCGCATCTCCGCCTCTAGCTCACCCTGGGCATGACTCCCAGGGGCATGAGCAGCCCGCTGCAGGGACACGTGTGTCCGGAATTTGTGGTGATGAGATGCACCACGCCACACTGCTTCCTTCATCTCCAGCCCCAGTCGGGGGGCCCTGGGTCCTCTGTGTGGTGGCAGTGCCGGCAGGCCTGACCACAGGGCGCGTCCCAGTGGCTCCTCACACGGCCTCCTCCTTCCTTACAGATCCTGCGGTACCTGGAGGCCTCCTGCGGACAACGGGCCCCGGCCCCCGAGCCCCTCGCCCAGCCCAGCCCCCTGGCTGCTGTCCAAGGCCTGTCTGACCTGTTGACAGACCCTGCGCCGCCTCCTGGGGGCCATGTCTTCCTCCAGCCATTGGGCTCCACCCCCATCTTGCCTCCGAGCCCTGCCCCCACCCCACCCCCAGACAACTGCCCCCTCCCCATCCCCAGTGTCCCCAGCAAGACTGGGTCGGGCCCAGGGGATGGAGCCACCGCCAAGGGCCCCTGGAGCCATGGTTCCCTATTTGCTGGCATGGAGCTGGTGGCACGTCCCCGTCTGCTGGGGTCTGGGGTGGCCATGGGGGAGCCCCGCCCAGCCCCCAGCTCCCCTCAGACGGCGGCCCCCGGAGAAGCAGCCCCAGAGCACCTGGGCTCAGAGCCGTCAGCTTTTGCGTTCTTAAACATGTGATGGTGTGGGCCTGGCTGCACGCCGGCCTTCTCATTCTCAGGCCCCTCCCGGCCCCTCGCCCACAGCGCCCGCCCGCCCGCCCAGGAGTGGCTCTCAGCTGCCCGCTGGCTGACTCCTGCCCCACCCCAGCCCCTTCCCGAGGCCTCGGTGCCTCACCTGGCCAGCCCCAGGCCACCTCCGAGCTGCTAGAAGTGGGAGGGAGCCAGCCGGGCCCAGGGGGCGGGGGGCGGGGGTCGGCTTCCTGACGGGCCCCCAGGCGGCGGCCCCTTCCCACCAAGGGCGGGGGGCCTCTGGCTGGCTGCCTGCTGCTGGAGACCACCTGAGGAGGGCTCAGCTTTACCTGGCACACTACACGCCACAGCCCCTTGACCCGGGCTGCTGGGCTCTCCGGGGGCCCTGAGCCGGGAGAGGACTCCAGGGCTACCTCGATCCCCGTCCACTCCCCCCACCCCCACTGCCCCAGTCTTGCCAGACACATCTTGGACTTGACTTTGTGCAGCAGCCACAGGCAGGCCATGGTCACAAGCGCTGGCCTTGGCTTTTACCTCAGACCCTCCCTCCCCTCCAGGGATGTGGTGGCAGCTGAGCCACAGTCCTCAGCATGTGGGGGGGGGGGGGGGGTCAGGTCCCTGCGTGACCCTCCCATGGCCACAGCCACCTCCTGCAGACGGGGAAAGGCCCAATAAACCGCGTTTACAGAGGCTGGACCGTGCGCTTCCTTCTTTGTCTGCATTTCAGATGTGCTTGGCAGGCACACTCAGGACCGCTTCCCGACTGGTAACACGGCGCTCCTCTGGTACTGCCTGGCCGCCCTTGCGGGCAGGAGAGTGCTCGGATCCCTGACTGGGAGCATTTGCGTGACTGCTGCCCAGGACAAGAGAGAGAACCCACCACTGGGGAGTACAGCCAGGGCCACAGGTGGAGGTGACATGTCCCAACATGGCTGCAGGTGGAAGGTGACCTCATCAAAGTCTCCGCTAGGTAGTAGTTTGTTTTTTTCTTTTCTTGCCAGTCTTGGGGCTTGAACTCCAGGTCTGGGTGGTGTCCCTGAGTTTCTTTTGCTCAAGTCTACTAATGTTCTGCCACAGGAACCACAACTCTACTTGCAGTGTTTTTGGTGGTTAATTGGAGATCAGAGTCTCACAGACTTTCTTTTCTGTGCTGGTTTCAAACCGAGATCCTCAGGTCTCTGCCTCCTGAGTATCACAGGCATGAGCTATAGGTGCCTGGCTTGCCATTTCGTTTTCAGCAGTGCCCCTGAGCTGCCTGCATCCCCAGCCCCTCTGCTGGGCGTTGAAAGAGTAATTTATTACTATAGAGGTGATGTGCATGAGTCAGGGAATTAGTACATTTCCTTTTGTACAGTGGTTTTTTTTTTGGTCCATGGGAGCGTAGGCCCAGTCCCTGAGCTCTTCAGCTCGAGGTGAGCACTCTACCACTTAAGCCACAGCGCCACTTCTGGTTTTCTGGTGGTTAATTGGACACAAGTCTCACGGACATTCCTGCCTGGGCTGGCTTTGAACCGGGATCTTCAGATCTCAGCCTCCTGAGTAGCTGGGATGACAGCGTGAGCCACCGGCGCCTTGCTTGGGTGTACAGTGTCTTGTTCCTTCCCTCTTCCCTCCCTCCCATCTCTACCCACGAGTTGTACAGTTAACTTTCATCTACGTCCAGAGAGCTCTACTGTGGCATTTTTTCACCCTTTTCCCTTGAGTTCTCTGCCCCCACCCTCCCGAAGACATACACATAAATACTCTGCACATAAGGTAAAGAAAACAGAGAGTCTTCTTTCCGTATCTTTAGGAGTCTGTTTCAGTATGAGCATTATTTTACGTAAATACGAAGAGGCACTTGAGCATTGTGCCTTCGTGTTTCTCGCTGAGTATCCTCTTTCGGTCTCACTGTGAATATCTAGAATCCTGTGTAATTTATCACCTGCCAGTGTGTTTTAGATCTAACTTTCATGTATCAGAATGAACATGCACCATTTCTCTCTGAGCTTGGCTTACCTCACTTAAGATGATTAATTCTAGTTCCATCTGTTGCCCTGCAAGTGACACCATTTTATTCTTTTTAATGGCTGTGTAAAATTCCATTGTGCATAGGTACCACATTTTTTGGATCCACTCCTCTGTTGTGTGGCACCTGGGTTGTTGGCATATCTTCGCTATTGTGAATGTAAGCATATGCCCACCTTTGTCCTCCCCTGCACCCACACCTGAGCTCCTCCCTGCCCCGGAGTTCCCACATACAGCTGGCCCCTGCCTCTCTCCGCCCATTCCCACCTGAGCCCCATCTACCTCACTTCCTACCCCCAGACCCTGCTGCTACCTAGATAGTGGAGGTCGCCATGCACTCGCGCTCTAGGGGAAATATGGCTCCTCTAATAAACCTTGTTATAGTCTTCCTCCTGTACCTGCCTGCCTCTGAGTGGTCCCCTGGCATGGATGTGATGGATCCTTTCAGTGAGTAGTGCAGCAGTGAACATGGATGTACAGGTATCTTTATCACACCCTGGCTCATGATGCTCAGGGTAGATGCCCAGGAGTGCTATGGCTGGGTCTAGAGAAGGTCTAGTTTTTTGAGGAACCTCCAGATTGCTTTCTGGAGTGGTTGCACTACTTTACATTCCCGCCAACCATGTAGTAGAGTTCTTTTTTCCCACGTCCCCGCCAGCATTTGTTGTTCAAATTCACAAAGTTGGCCAGTCTTACTGGGGTGAGATGGAATCTTACCTTCATGGCTGGGAAGATAAGCATTGCCTTGTGTGTTTCCTTTCCATTCTTATGTCTTCTTCTGAGAAGTCTGTCTTTAGCTCCCTTGCCCACTTAATGATTGGTGTATTAGGTTTGGGAGGGGTTAGTTTCTTGAGCTCCTCGTATATATGGGATATTAGGCCTTTGTCATATACTGCTGCTCTTCTGGTTGGTTGGCTGTCTTTCTAGTTTAGTGACTATCTGTTGTGCCCCTGGGACTCCATCGAAGAAGTTTCTGCCTGTATCTATAAGTTTTAACGTTTCTCCTAATCTTTCTTACAGTAGTTTAAAAATTTCAGGTCTGACATTGAGGTCTTTGATCCGCTTTGAATTGATATCATGCGTGGTGACAAACAAGGATCCACTTTTAGTTTTCTGCATAGGGCTGCCCAGTTTTTCCAACACCCAATTGTTGAAGAGCCTATTTTTTTCCCCACTGTATGTCTTTGGTTCCCATATCAAATATCAGATGACTATAAGTGGATCTTCTAGTCTATTCCATTGATCTTTTTTTTCCCCTTTGGTTGTGGGCTTGAATTCTGGGCCTGGGCACTGTCCCTCAGCTCTTCAGCTCAAGGCGAGCGCTCTACCACTTGAGCCACAGCGCCACCTCCAGTTTTCTAAGTGGCTTATTGGAGATAAGAGTCTCAAGGACTTTCCTTCCTGTGCTGGCTATGAACCACAATCCTCAGATCTCAGCCTCCTGAGTAGCTAGGATTACAGGAGGCATGAGCCACCTACATCCAGCTCCATTGATCTTAAGCCAATACTAAACTGTTTTTGTTATTATGGCGCTGTCGTAGAGTTTGAGGTCTGGTATTAGGATATCTGGTATTGTGATACTACTTGTATTTTTTTTTTTTTTGCCTAGAATTGCTTTGGTTATTCTAGGTCTTTTATTATTCCATATGCATTTTTGGGTTGTTTTCTCTATCTTGGTAAAGAACATCATTGGGGTTTTTGATGGGAATTGCATTGAATTTCTGTATCTTTTTTGGTAGTATTGCCATCTTCACAATATTGATTCTACCTATCCATGAACATGGAAGGTCTTTCCGTTTCCTAATGTCCTCTTTGAATTCTTTCTTCAGATTTTTTTCTTTTATTTCGGCCGGTCGTGGGCCTGAACTCTAGGCCTGGGCACTATCCTTAGCTCTTCAGCTCAAGGCGAGCATTCTACCACTCTGGCCTTTTTAGTTTGTGTGGTGCTGAGGAATGGAACCCAGGGCTCTATGCATGTGAGACAAGCTCTGTACCGCTGAGCCGCCTTCCCCTGCTGGATTTTTAAAAGAGAATAACAAGCTTACAAATGTGCAAGTCATGAGCTTATTTCTTACAAGCTCAACTACTCACAGTCTGATGTTGGTGGAAAGCTAAATCAGTGCTGGTATAGGCCATTCAGGAACAGACCCACAATCATTTATTTCTGAGAAAAAAATGGGTAAAAGACAGGAACAGACATGAAGATACATGGACACCTGGCAGATGAGCACACAGATTCTCAATGTCACTGAAGAAAAACCGCTGAAAGTCAAGTGGGATACAACTATGCACCTATTAGTACAACTAGGGGGGGAAAAACACAACAAAACCCCGGCAATACCATGTGCTCAGGGGCCCTGGAGTGACTGGAACTTATCCTGTGTGGTGCAAGTGTGATAAGTAACATTTTTTTATGTGTGTCCCGGTGCTGGGGCTTGAACTCAGAGCCTAGGCTCTGTCAGCTTTATCCACCCAAGTGGTACTGTGCCACTTGAGCCATACCTTTGCTTCTGGCCTTGTGCTGGTTGAGATTCCTACTTGGGCTGGCTTCAGTGATCCTCAGATCTCAGCATCCTGAATGGCTAGGATATAGGAATGGGCCACCGGTGCCTGGCAACATGCAACTTCTTTAGAAAACAGTTTGGCTGTTTCTTACAAAGCTTAAGCAAATACCATATAATCTACCATTCCCTCCCCTAGGTATTTACCCAAGAGAAATACAAAGCCTTGTTCATACAAAAGCCCATTAGCAAATGTCTATAGCTGCTCATTTCAATAAGTTTTCAAAGCTGGAGCCATCCCCATTGGTCAGCTGCGCTCAGAGGATAAATGTCAGGGCCCACAGCTTGGGACACTGTGCAGAGGATGAATCTCATCCCCCTGCCCCCCTGGGCTGGGGTGGGGGGGAGGCAGGGGCTGTCTGTGCCAGTGTGTAACACTGAAAGAGGCAAAGCCACCTGATGGGGTGGCCAGGGGTCACGGCCAAGGACGAGAGCCCACAAGCAGGGGCTGGGAAGGGAAGCGCTCTGCGCCTGGATGGTGGTGGTAGTCACACAATTACTGCACACCCAGAAGTGTGAGCTCGTGATATGCATAGATGCACATACAGTGTATACGTGTGGGACGGTCTCTCTGTGTATGTGTAGCTCAGGACGGCCTGGAACTCGCCTTGTCGCTCAGGCTGACTTTGAACTCAGGCCCCTTCTGCACCACCACTCTAGGCTCTCAAATTTTTTTTTTGTCGGTCATGGGGCTTGAACTCTGTCCCTCAGCTCTTCAGCTCAAGGCGAGCGCTCTACCACTTGAGCTACAGCGCCACTTCCAGTTTTTTAGTGGTTTATTGGAGATAGGAGTCTCACAGTTGCCCGGGCTGGCTTTGAACCGCGATTCTCAGATCTCAGCCTCCTGAGTAGCTAGGATTACAGGCGTGAGCCAGCGGCGCCCGACTTCAAATCTTTTTGTGTAATTAAGAGGGGGGATAACAAGGGTTTGTGTGTTTGCATGGTGGGGGTACGGCAATTGTGGGTCATGGGCTTGAACTCTAGGCCTGGACGCTGTCCCTCAGCTCTTCAGCTCAAGGCGAGCGCTCTACCACTTGAGCCACAGCGCCACTTCTGGTTTTCTGGTGATTTATTGGAGATCAGAGTCTCATGGCCTTTCCTGCCCGGGCTGGCTTTGAACCCTGGTCCTCCTGAGTAGTTGGGATGACAGTCGTGAGCCACAGCGCCAGGCCCTGTTATTGCCTGAATGTGATTTCGTTGGAGAAGGCGTGAGCGCTGTAGGGTCGGGGCAGTGAGCGGAGAGAGAGGCCCGGCGGCCGGGCGCTGGAGGGTCGGGCCGGGCGCTGGGCAGCGGTGAGCGGAGGGAGAGGCCCGGCGGCCAGGCGCTGGAGGATCGGGGCAGTGGGGGGGGGGGGGGGGGGGGGGAGGGGGAGGCCCGGCGGCCGGGCCCTGGAGGATCGGGGCGGTGAGCGGAGGGAGAGGCACGGCGGCCGGGCGCTGGAGGGTCGGGCCGGGCGCTGGGCAGCGCGCTGGATGCCCGGCTGCAAGCAGACACGCTCTCGGGGCGTGCCTGCTTCTATAAAGTGCAACGTCCTGGGTCCTGGCTTCGATTACCAGAACCAGGGGGAAAAGACAGAAAACCCTCGGGTTAAAAGCAGGGAACGGGAAGGCGTCCGCATCGTCGCCCACCGCAGGGAGCAGCGGGCGGCGCCAGGGCCCCACAGCGGACAGCGCCTCGGCCTGCGGGCCACACGCGAGGCCCCGCCCACGCGCGAGACTCCGCCCGCCCGCGGCGCCCTGGAAGCGCCGCCCCGTCCGTGCTACGTCCAATCAGACAGGCCGCCACGCTCGCGACCCCATCTTCCCGCTGCTCCACCCATGCCTGGGCTTCCTGAAGGACAGCTCTGCGGCCCAATGAGCGCCGGCGCTGGCCCTGGCGGTCAGCCAGTGGGCCAATCCGGGAGGGCGCGCTGGGCCGGCGGGCCGGCGTGACGGACAGGGGCGGCGCTGCTCGGCTGGTTGCTAGCCGCCGACGCCCGCCCAGCGCGCCCGCGCTTCTTTGTCGACCCCCGTCCCAGGCGACTTGGACGGCGGGCGGGGTGCCTCGGAGCGCCCGGGGCCCGGCGGGTTCTGCGCCGCTCGCTGGAGGCTGCGTCCGCGGGCGGCGCGCCCCGGGCCTGGCCCGCGCAGGTGAGGAGCCTCGGGGTCGGGGGCGTCCCGGGGTCGGGGGGGCCCGAGGGGGCGCTGAGGAGACGAGGGGCAGGCCCCGGCGTGGAGCGGCCCCGCGGGGTCGGGGCGTCCCGGGGGCGAGGGCCCCGCGAGGCCCAGGCGTCGCGTGGACGCCCGCCCGGCCTGCAGGCCAGGTGGGGTGCAGCCGGGTCAGGACCCTGCCCGAAGCCTCGGGGGGGCCGGGGGGGCTGGCCGCCGGACTCGCCACCCCTCCGGGTGAGGTCGGCCTCCCGGCCTCCTGCAGCTGGCCCAGAGGTTTCCATGGAGAGGCCGTGTTTACCAGCCCAGGGCCTGGCTGCTGCACGTGCTGCGGGGAAAGCTGGCTGGTGAGAGGCGGGGTTCAAGCCCACCCTCCCAGGCCAGCGGGCCCCCTGGCCTTGGGCAGTGGCCGGTGCGGCTTTGGCCCCTGGACGAAGTGACAGTGACACTATAGTCACTTTTTTTTTTTTTCCTGATGCGTGTACTGAGCTTGAGCTCAGGACCTGGGTGCTGGCCTTTGGCTTTTTCACTCAAGGCCGGTGCCTTACTACTTTTGAGCCACAGCTCCACTTCTGGCTTTTTTGCAGTTAATTGGAGATAAGAGTCTCAAAGGACTTTCCTTCCCAGGCTGACTTCAAACTGGGATCCTCAGAACTCAGCCTCCAGGTAGCTAGGAGTACAGGCCCAAGCTACCCAACTTCATAGTCACTTTTAACATTTCTGGTGTTTTCACTTGCTCAGCAATCACCCTGAATACCATCCATGGGGCCGGCCCTCCCCAGGAAGTCCCCAGAGTAGAGATGGATGAAGCAGGGCAGGGGACTGGACTGAGCATTTGATGGCTGGACCAAGGCTTGTGGTGTGCAGGAATCTGGCTGGACCAGGCTTGTGGTGTGCAGGAGTCTGGCTGGACCAGGCTTGTGGTGTGCAGGAGTCTGGAAGCTGTTCCCCCCACCCCCCGCCCCCCCCGTACCTCCCCTAGAGGCAGGTGGAGCGGAGGGGGGCAGACTCAGGGGCAGAAGAGATGACTGAGCAGAAGAGTCTGAGGGTGGCCACACAAGGAGGAATGGGGGACCCCTAGGAGCAAGAGGGAAGTTGTCACATCCTGGGGGTTCCATGGCCAGCTAAGTCCAGGCATCCTGAGAGTGAATCCTTCTGGCCTCCTGGTCGTACTTGCCTTGCACAAGCCCTGGGAGGAATTGTGGTGTGACAGGTGGGTCACGACAGGCTGCTTCATGTAGTGGCCTGCTTCCTCAGGCCAACCTCTAGGGGTCTGGCCTGTGTCCACTGCCTCTGCAGTCCTTCTGCTGGCTTCGGATGGCTGGGGCCTCCTCCCCTGGGAGGAGGGCTCGTAGAGGTGCTGGATGGGTGTCTGGGCTGACTCAGCTCTGCTGCACGGTGGGTGCAATGGTTTCACGGTGTCTTCCCGCCTCTCACTCCCTTCAGGACTTCGTTCACCATGAAAGGCTCGAGGACTGTCAGCAGGACCCCTGACAGCAACTCGGCCTGTGTGGAGCTTAGTCTGACCGGCCTCCCTCCCCCCATGTCCCAGCGCCCCGGCAGTGCCTCCACCGCCAAGCCCATCGTCCGGTCTATCTCCGTGGCCACGGGCAGCGAGCCCAGGAGGAGGGCGCTGGTGAGTGGGGGGCACCAGAAAGTTGTCACTGGGTGGCGCCTGAGCCCGCATGCAGCTCCATATCTGAGCACTTGTCATCCTGGGGCAGGAAGGCTCTGGACCTCGCATGCCTGGAGCTTACAAGGTGGTCAGGCCAATTGTGCGGCCTGGGGCAGGTTCGCATCCGTCCAGCACCCAGCCCTGTCGCTTCTGCTCCACTGCCCTTTGGACTCGTTTGGATCCTCGACAAATTAATTGGCTTCAGGAGGGAGATGAGCAGTGTGGCCTCAGAGAAAGGTGGAGGCTGACCGGTGGGCGCGGTGGGTGTGGGTGGGAGCTTTGGAGCTGGACCGAGTTGCTTTTCCTCTGCACACCTTTGCAGGGCAGGTGAAGCGGGCTGGAGGGTGTCACTCACAGGTCAGTGGCCGAGGTTAGAGGCCAGCATGGACTGATGTGCACACACGCGCACACCCATGTCATCTGTGCTCGGAGGCAGTCTCCAGGCGAGACGGGGGGGAGCAGGTGCTTGAGTCTGGCCTGCATATCCAGACCGGGAGGATTGGCTTGGCTGCCACAGCTGACCTAGCTTCCCATCTGGGAGGAGGCCAGCTGTGTCCTTCCCAGAGGGTCGAGGCCACGGCTCCCTCCCTTCTCCCTGGAAATCCACTCCTGCGTCTCACGGAGTGGCCACAGAATTGGAGCTGACTTCCTCAGCAGGAATGGCATCCAGTAGGGGACCCTTGGTCCAGATAAGTTCCTCAAGCATGGGACCAGTCACCAGCTCTGCCATGGCCACTGCCCTAGCAGTGGGATGACCAACTTAGGCCAGCGGCCCTTACCACGCCCCCTCCATAACCCAGCCTTGCTCTTGAGTCACTGACCACTCTCCCTGGCCAGGATCCCTGGATCCCTTTCTCTGAAGCTCTAGGAGGGAGGGGTAGGCCCGGGTGCTGATGCCCTGGCACAGATGGTTGCTGGCCTTGCTGGTGGGTGGAGAAGACGGTTCACTGGCTGGGCATCTCCCCTGCCCTCCTGCTGCCCAGTGCTCTGTCACTGAATGTGCGCTCAAAGCCAAGAAGCATTGACCACATTTCCTCGACGGTGCTGCTGCCCTTTCCCAGGACTGCCTGGGATCTCTTCTAATCAGAATGTTCCAGAAGTTCCCTTTAAGATGGCCTCACCTGTGTGGCTCACACCCGTAATCCCAGCTACTCAGGAGGCTGAGATCTGAGGATTGCAGTTCAAAGCCAACCTGAGCAGGAAAGCTTGTGAGATTCTTAGCTCCAAAACCAGAATAGCCAGAGGTAGAGCTGTGGCTTAAGTGGAAGAGCACTGGCCTTGAGCACAGAAGCTTAGGCCCTGATTTCAAGCCCCAGGACCAGCATAAAAATAAAAAGTGAGCAAGGTGCTGGTGGCTCATGTCTATAATCCTAGCTACTCAGAAGACTGAGATCTGAGCATGGCAGTTCAAAGCCAGCTGGGCAGGAATCTCAGTGAGACCCTTTTTCTCGAACTACTGGAAAACTGGAAGTGGGTGCTGTGGCTCGAAGTGGCAGAGTGCCAGCCTTGAACAAAAAGCTCAGGGACAGAGCCTAGGCCTTGAGTTCAAACCCCACAACTCACAAAACAAAGCCCTGCTCCCTGGCCTGAAGTCATTCTGAGCAGTTCCATTCTCCTGTCCCTGCCACCACTTGATCTGTGGAGAGTTTGCTGGCCCTGGGCTGCTGGCGCTCTCTCCTGGTGCATGTGGGGTCTTCTCCCTTGCCAGCGTCCTGGTGTTCACTCTGCCCCTCATCTCCAGCCCTTTGTCCTGAGGTTCCCGGTCTGGGCCGTGAGCTGCACTCACTGCTGGTTTTCTGGCATATGGGACGTGGCATCAGTGCCAGCCCTCAAGGGTCCTGCTTTCCCGCCCGGGCTCGGCGCCCTCCTGGTCTCCTCGACACTGAATTTCTCGCTCCATTTCCCTTCCCTGTGAAGGAGCAAGGTCTTTAAATCCTAAGAGCGCAGCTCATGAGTGGAGCAGATGCCACCCAAGTGTATCCGGCGCGAGCCAGCTGCGTCCCCACGCTGTCCTCACTGATGGCACTCTGCCCTGTGCACAGATAAGTTGGGTGTTCATGGCCCCAGACTTTGTTGACCTTCTGACCACTTCCTTTCCACCTGGCACGCTCCACAGCCCACCACCCACGCCGCCATGCACTCCACGTGGCAGCTGGCTGCCATCTTGTTTTGGCATTTCAATAACCCTGTGAACATGGCTATAAGTAGGTCAGGCAGATGGCCACTGGATAGCAGGCCTCCCTCCTACTCCCCCCCCCCCCCCCCGTGCGCCCCCTCCCGCCCCCGGCGTCGGCGGCTGCTCTGCTGCTCAGTGTCCCATCCCTCCTGACGTTCTGGGTGTGTGCAGACCTTCCCCTGTGGGTCACGTCCTGCCCTGTTTGGGGCATGCTGCTGCCGGCCTCTCAGCTGCCGAGTAGGGTAGCAGTCCTGTGCGGATGGACCATAGGTTGGTCAGTGCCGAGCAGGGCCACCGCCTGTGTCCTCGTGCCATGTCTCCCCGTGCACACACGCCTGGTCATAGCCGTGACATATCACGTGCTGAGGGACAGCTTCACAGGGCTGTCCGTGGTGAGGGGCCAGGCCGGACCCCACAGGCCAGCAGGGTTTCCAACCTCCACCCTCGGTGTGTACGAAAGACGTCTGTCTGATTGAACTACTCTTTTCTTCTTTTTTTCTGTGCTGGTCCTGAGGCTTGAACTCAGGGCCCCAGCACTGTCCCTAAACTCAAGGCTAGCACTCTACCAGTTGAGCCACAGCTCCACTTCTAGCTTTTGGGAGGAGTTAATAGGAGATAAGCATCTCATGGGGCCTTCCTGTCTGAGCTGGCTTCTATGCTCAGATCTCAGCCTCTTGAGTAGCTGGGATTACAGGCAGGAGCCGCCTGTGCTTGGCGTCTTCCTTCCCACCCCCATCATTCTCTTTTGAGGTGCTTCCCAGGCTGGTCTTGAATTCACGGCCTCAGTGAGCCAGTGGAGTAACATCAGAGTTGATGAAGCCCATGCCCTGCCCTGCTTAGGCCTCCGCCTCAAGCCGCTACCTCCAGCCTCCGCTGCAGTCTCCAGCCGTGCTGAGTAGCTCTCCTCATGGTTTCCTGTTTAAGATGGAGGTGTGGCTATGTTGTCCAGGCTGACCTCAGCCATCCTCCTGATGGGCTTCCTGAGCAGCCAGGCCTGCGGGCGCGGGTCAGGTTCTTTTCCTCTTTGGGAGCCATCCACCGTTCCTTTTCTGTTGAAGTGTGGTTTGTATTATAGACGGAAGCCAGGCTTCCCAGGCTGTGATCCTGCCCCGTGCTGCCCCGTGCTGCCCCGTGCTCCCTTTCCATTTTGACGCTAGGCCACAGCTTTCAGCTGTAGACCCTCCCCCCCTTCCCCCCAGCGCCTCCTGGCTTGAAGCATACAGGTTCGTTCTCAGAACATGGCCACGGCCACCCTCAGATCTGCAGCCAGTGGCAGCCTGGAGCTCCAGGACTGGCGGGGGGGGGGGGTCCGCAGGGAGTGGCGCCGATGAGACGGTGCAGGCGGGAGCCTGGGCTGGACGGCTCTGCTCTTCCAGCCCCAGGGGTGACGGTGCACGGGGAGCATTGCCGGTCTGGCTAGAGCTCAGCCAGGCTTGCACACGGCACAGTGGGTGTCCACGTGGCCCGGGCACGGCACGGCCACACGCTTGCCGTAAGTCATGCCGTTAGATTACCCCCAGGTAAGAAGCGCCCTGGGTCTATCACGCATTCCTTCCCATGGGTGCCTGCTGCTTCTTCTGCCTGGTGGGGTCCCCAGTCCCCCCTTCCCATGCTCTTCCCAGCACATCTGTCTCAGGGGTGGGGCCCGTGACACAGGAATAAAGACAGTGGGGCCCACGGTCCCCAGCTCCCACCCTTGATCGACTCCCCTCAAAGTCCCTGCACAGTGTCCACACTCTGCCCCCCCCCCCCCCCGGCCCAATCCACAGCGGGATGCTGGCCTTGGGCTCCCCGCTCTCAGTCCAATCTGGGGTCTCTCAGTCCAGCCAGGGAGACTTGGTGTTGGCATTGAGCACTAGGTGGTCTCAGCCTCTCGGCCAGCTGGCCAGCCCAGCCTGCCTGTCCTCGTGGGTGGGCTGCACACCTGCTCATGTGACTTTGAGGCCCTGGTTCTGCTGCAGAGAGCAGTTCTAGGACCGGCTGCCTGGAATGGGATCCCGTGCGTGTCCAGCCTTTGTTTTTGTCCTTGCTTTGAGAGTCTCTTTGTTTGTTTGTTTAAGATTTTTTTGGTTGGTTAGTTGGTTTTGTGGGTTGTGGGGCCTGGGCGCTGTCCCTCAGCTCTTCAGCTCAAGGCTAGCGCTCTACCACTTGAGCCACAGTGCCACTTCCAGCTTTTTCTGCTTCTGTGGTGCTGAGGAATCAAACCCAGGGCCTCGTGCAAGGCAAGCGCTCTACCACTGAGCCTCCTTCCCAGCCCCTTGTTTGCTTTTTTTTTTTTTTTTTTGGGTCTGGTCGTGGGGCCTGAACTTTGGGCCTGGGCGCTGTCCCTCAGCTCTTCAGCTCAAGGCTAGAGCTCTACCACTTGAGCCACAGTGCCACTTCCAGCTTTTTTCTTTTTGCTTATGTGGTGCTGAGGAATTGAACCCAGGGCCTCGAGCATGCAAGGCAAGCGCTCTACCGCTGAGCCACCTTCCCAGCCCAGCTTTTTATTTTTTTAAAGAAACCAAGGAGTCTTGCCAGGTGCCAGTGGCTCACGCCTGTCATCCTAGCTACTCAGGAGGCTGAGAGCTGAGGATTGCAATTCAAACCCAGCCAGGACAGGAAAGTCCGTGAGACTCTTATCTCCAATAAACCACCATAAAACTGCAAGTGCGGACTGTGACTCAAGTGGTAGAGCGCTTGCCTTGAGCTGAAGAGCTGAGAGACAGCACCCAGGCCAAGAGTTCAAGCTCCACGACCGACCAAAAGAAAAGAAACCAGGCTGGGAAGGTGGCTCAGTGGTAGAGCGCTTGCCTTGCATGCCTGAGGTCCTGGGTTCCGATTCCTCAGCACCACATAAGCAAAAAGAAAAAAGTCAGAAGTGGCGCTGTGGCTCAAGTGGCTGAGCGCTAGCCTTGAGCTGAAGAGTTGAGGGACAGCACCCAGGCCCAGAGTTCAGGCCCCACAACCGGACCCAAAAGAAAAGAAAGAAACCAGGGAGTCTTAAGGCTTCCCTGGGTAGGCATGGGCGGCACAGGCTGTTCCGGTGGTGATGAAGTGGTCTCCTGACAGGAGGTTCCAGGCTGTTTCCTGCAGAATTCTGAGCCCTTTCCCCAAAATGTGTGGGGAAATGTTTAGAGGCAACAGAAAAGTTTGGAGAGTTGTCTAATGTGGGCCGCACTACTCCCCGGCCTGCTGCCGGCTGACGATCCTCGGCACTGCCTTCCTTCCTCGCCACACAGCCCCTCCTGCATCCCAGACCTGCTTCCAGGGACAGGCTCTCCCCGTCCCGTGCAGCTCCGTCTCCCCACGGAAGTATTGAGAACACTCGTACCCGGGCCTCCGTTAACCCAGGTGGGCCTGGAACTCAATACTGCTGCTGTCTCCCTGGCTGGGATTAGAGACGGGCGTCTCCGTGCGCAGCCTCAGTGCATCTCTAGCTGCCTCACCTCACCTTTGCTCTCTGGATGCTGTGAGAGGCGGGGCCATGGTGACACCTGGGATGCAGAGTGGTGGTGGCAGCCGGGTCTGTCCCAGTCCCCTGTCCCCACCCCCCCCCCCCCCCCGCCAGGGCCGCACAGTATCCTTATGTCCAAGGCAGGAGCCAGGATGATGCGGTTGCTGTCTGTCCTCCCTTGTCATGTGACAACGTAGCAGTGACCAATGCTTCCTAGCCGGTCTCATGCTGCCTCCCTAGCCTTCCCTCCGTGCAGGGGCAAGGGACTCCCCATTTTGTGCAGGACCATGACAAGGCTCTCAGGTCTGAGCCCTGACCTCGGCTGCCTTCCTAAGACTCGGCCAGTCCCTAGCAAGCTGACCAGTGTCTGAGTTCTGGCACTGATAGGTGTTTTCCTTGCTTTCTGTAGGAGGCCTCCGGGCCTGGAGCTTCTCGGGCCATCAACAATCTTCGCAGATCCAACAGCACCACGCAGGTCAATCAGCCACGGACCGGCTCTCCCAGGTGACCCTCTGGTCCTCTCCCCCCTCCTTCAGCCCTTCCAGCTCCAAGAGCAGTGGCCTCACTGAGCAGTGAGGCCTGGGGACCGTCATGCTGCCCTGTCCTTGTGTGGCACTCTGCCTTCTTGTGCATGGAGAGGTGGGACAGCCAGGAACAGCTGTCTGTCCTGTCATATGCTGAAGCCTGAGCCCTGGCCACAGCTCCCCACTTCCTGTGCCTCCTCTGGGATCCCAGGTGGGTGGGTGGAGTAGGCAGGGCTGCTAGAGGCCCACTGGTCTTCAGCCTTTCCACCTACCTTCAGTTTTAACCCAGTGTTGGAGAGGTGTCAGCATCGTGGCAGTTCAGAGTCCTCCCTGGGGGTCTGCCCATCCTCACCAACGGGAGGAGGGAGCTTCCTGGGGCCCTAGTGCTGTGTGTGTGTGTGAGTGCCACAGGAAGCACTGGGCTGGTGATGTGGATCCATGATAGCTACAGGGCCACACTGTGTCTGGTACATGGGTCAGTTTTTATAGTCACGGGACTGCTGTGATTGATGGTGTGGATCTGTTGTCATAGCCACAGGGGACTGCTGTGGCTGGGTGCAGTGACAATGTGCCTGTCAGCCCAGTAGCACTAGGACACAGGTAGGACCACAGCCCAGGACTGAAGTGAAACCCCACTGCAAAGTTAACTAAGGAACTTGTGGTGTGGCTCAAGGGATAGAACACCTGCCTCCAAGTGTGAGGGTCAGCAAGGGCAGGACTGAAGCCAGGGCGATGCCCTGCAGAGGAAGCCACATCCAGAGCCCCCAGGCATGGAAGGCATCGGGGAGCCAGGGAGACCCCGAGTCCCCGTCCTCCACTCTGTGCTTGTGTGGAATCTGAGAACTGCTGGAACCCTGGCACCAGGCAATGATGGAAGGTATCGCCGTGTGCTGTGGCCACTCAGGAGGCGTAGGTCAGGAGGATGACGGTTTGCAATGAGCCTGGGTAAAAAGCGAGTGAGACCCCCATCTTGGCAGATGAGCCAGACATGTTGGCAAGGATCTATAATTATACTCAGTGGGAGGCATAGGAGGATTGTGGTCGGAGGCCAGCCCCAAGCATTTTATCTGAAAAGGGGTGCCAGTTGTGTTTTGTTTGCTTTTTTTTTTTTTTTTTTTTGCCTGTCCTGGGCCTGGGTGCTGTGCTTGAGTCTTTTTGCTCAAGTTAGTACTCTACCACTTGAGCCACACAGCCACTACCAGCTTTTTTCTATTTATGTGGCACTGGAGAATTGAACCCAAGGATTCATGCAAGCTAGGTAAGCACTCTACCACTAAGCCACATTCTAAGCCTCTTGTTTGTATTTTGGTATAATTGCTTTATAGAGATAGTTAAAAAGTACAGTTTAAAATTTATCGAACCCAAGGCCTACTGCATGCTGGACAAACACTACACTACTGATCCTCACCTCAAGCCTAGTTCAATGATCCTCAGTATACCCACATCACAGTGAGCCTTAGTACACCAAAGCCCAATGAGCCTCAGTACACCCACAGCTCAGTGATCCTCAGTCCACCCACAGCCCAGTGAGCCTCAGTACACCCACAGCTCAGTCATCCTCAGTACACCCACAGCTCACTGATCCTCAGTACACCCACAGCTCAGTCATCCTCAGTACACCCACAGCTCAGTCATCCTCAGTACACCCACAGCCGTCATCCTCAGTACACCCACAGCTCAGTAATCCTCAGTACACCCACAGCCCAGTGATCCTCAGTACACCCACAGCCCAGTCATCCTCAGTACACCCACAGCCCAGTCATCCTCAGTACACCCACAGCTCAGTCATCCTCAGTACACCCACAGCTGTGATCCTCAGTACACCCACAGCTCAGTCATCCTCAGCACACCCACAGCCCAGTGATCCTCAGTACACCCACAGCTCAGTCATCCTCAGTACACCCACAGCCCAGTGATCCTCAATACACCCACAGCTCAGTCATCCTCAGTACACCCACAGCCCAGTGATCCTCAGTACACCCACAGCTGTGATCCTCAGTACACCCACAGCTCAGTCATCCTCAGTACACCCAAACTCAGTCATCCTCAGTACACCCAGAGCTCAGTGATCCTCAGTACACCCACAGCTCAGTGATCCTCAGTACACCCACAGCTCAGTGATCCTCAGTACACCCACAGCTCTGTCATCCTCAGTACACCCACAGCCCAGTCATCCTCAGTACACCCACAGCCCAGTCATCCTCAGTACACCCACAGCTCAGTCATCCTCAGAACACCCACAGCTGTGATCCTCAGCACACCCACAGCCCAGTCATCCTCAGTACACCCACAGCTGTGATCCTCAGTACACCCACAGCCCAGTGATCCTCAGTACACCCACAGCCCAGTGATCCTCAGTACACCCACAGCCCAGTGATCCTCAGTACACCCACAGCCCAGTGATCCTCAGTACACCCACTACTCAGTCATCCTCAGTACACCCACAGCTCAGTCATCCTCAGTACACCCACAGCTCAGTCATCCTCAGTACACCCACAGCCCAGTCATCTCAGTACACCCACAGCTCAGTCATCCTCAGTACACCCACAGCTCAGTCATCCTCAGTACACCCACAGCACAGTCATCCTCAGTACACCCACAGCCCAGTCATCCTCAGTACACCCACAGCTCAGTGATCCTCAGTACACCCACAGCCCAGTCATCCTCAGTACACCCACAGCCCAGTCATCCTCAGTACACCCACAGCCCAGTGATCCTCAGTACACCCACAGCCCAGTCATCCTCAGTACACCCACAGCTCAGTCATCCTCAGTACACCCACAGGCCAGTGATTCTCAGTACACCCACAGCCCAGTCATCCTCAGTACACCCACAGCTCAGTCATCCTCAGTACACCCACAGCCCACAGCTCAGTGATCCTCAGTACACCCACAGCTCAGTGATCCTCAGTACACCCACAGCTCAGTCATCCTCAGTACACCCACAGCTCAGTCATCCTCAATACACCCACAGCCCAGTGATCCTCAGTACACCCACAGCCCACAGCTCAGTCATCCTCAGTACACCCACAGCTCAGTGATCCTCAGTACACCCACAGCTCAGTCATCCTCAGTACACCCACAGCTCAGTCATCCTCAATACACCCACAGCCCAGTGATCCTCAGTACACCCACAGCCCAGTCATCCTCAGTACACCCACAGCCCAGTCATCCTCAGTACACCCACAGCCCAGTCATCTCAGTACACCCACAGCTCAGTCATCCTCAGTACACCCACAGCTCAGTCATCCTCAGTACACCCACATCACAGTCATCCTCAGTACACCCACAGCCCAGTCATCCTCAGTACACCCACAACTCAGTGATCCTCAGTACACCCACAGCCCAGTGATCCTCAGTACACCCACAGCCCAGTGATCCTCAGTACACCCACAGCCCAGTGATCCTCAGTACACCCACAGCCCAGTGATCCTCAGTACACCCACAGCTCAGTCACCCTCAGTACACCCACAGCTCAGTCATCCTCAGTACACCCACAGCTCAGTCATCCTCAGTACACCCACAGCTCAGTCATCCTCAGTACACCCACAGCTCAGTCATCCTCAATACACCCACAGCCCAGTGATCCTCAGTACACCCACAGCTGTGATCCTCAGTACACGCACAGCCCAGTCATCCTCAGTACACCCACAGCTCAGTCATCCTCAGTACACCCACAGCTGTGATCCTCAGTACACCCACAGCTCAGTCATCCTCAATACACCCACAGCCCAGTGATCCTCAGTACACCCACAGCCCAGTCATCCTCAGTACACCCACAGCCCAGTCATCCTCAGTACACCCACAGCCCAGTCATCCTCAGTACACCCACAGCCCAGTCATCCTCAGTACACCCGCAGCCCAGTCATCCTCAGTACACCCGCAGCCCAGTCATCCTCAGTACACCCGCAGCCCAGTCATCCTCAGTACACCCGCAGCCCAGTCATCCTCAGTACACCCGCAGCACAGTCATCCTCAGTACACCCGCAGCCCAGTCATCCTCAGTACACCCACAGCCCAGTCATCCTCAGTACACCCACAGCCCAGTGATCCTCAGTACACCCACAGCTCAGTCACCCTCAGTACACCCACAGCTCAGTCATCCTCAGTACACCCACAGCTCAGTCATTCTCAATACACCCACAGCCCAGTGATCCTCAGTACACCCACAGCTGTGATCCTCAGTACACGCACAGCCCAGTCATCCTCAGTACACCCACAGCTCAGTCATCCTCAGTACACCCACAGCTGTGATCCTCAGTACACCCACAGCCCAGTCATCCTCAGTACACCTGCAGCCCAGTCATCCTCAGTACACCCACAGCTCAGTCATCCTCAGTACACCCACAGCTCAGTCATCCTCAGTACACCTACAGCCCAGTGATCCTCAGTACACCCACAGCCCAGTCATCCTCAATACACCCACAGCCCAATCATCCTCAGTACACCCACAGCTCAGTGATCCTCAGTACACCCACAGCTCAGTCATCCTCAGTACACCCACAGCACAGTCATCCTCAGTACACCCACAGCACAGTCATCCTCAGTACACCTGCAGCCCAGTCATCCTCAGTACACCTGCAGCCCAGTCATCCTCAGTACACCCACAGCTCAGTCATCCTCAGTACACCTGCAGCCCAGTCATCCTCAGTACACCCACAGCTGTGATCCTCAGTACACCCACAGCCCAGTCATCCTCAGTACACCCACAGCACAGTCATCCTCAGTACACCCACAGCCCAGTGATCCTCAGTACACCCACAGCACAGTCATCCTCAGTGCACCCACAGCTCAGTGATCCTCAGTACACCCACAGCTCAGTCATCCTCAGTACACCCACAGCTCAGTCATCCTCAGTACACCCACAGCTCAGTCATCCTCAGTACACCCACAGCCCAGTGATCCTCAGTACACCCACAGCCCAGTCATCCTCAGTACACCTGCAGCCCAGTCATCCTCAGTACACCCACAGCTGTGATCCTCAGTACACCCACAGCCCAGTCATCCTCAGTACACCCACAGCACAGTCATCCTCAGTACACCCATAGCCCAGTGATCCTCAGTACACCCACAGCACAGTCATCCTCAGTACACCCACAGCTCAGTCATCCTCAGTACACCCACAGCCCAGTGATCCTCAGTACACCCACAGCCCAGTCATCCTCAGTACACCTACAGCCCAGTGATCCTCAGTACACCCACAGCTCAGTCATCCTCAATACACCCACAGCTCAGTCATCCTCAGTACACCTGCAGCCCAGTGATCCTCAGTACACCCACAGCTCAGTGATCCTCAGTACACCCACAGCACAGTCATCCTCAGTACACCCACAGCTCAGTCATCCTCAGTACACCCACAGCACAGTCATCCTCAGTACACCCACAGCTCAGTGATCCTCAATACACCCACAGCTCTGTAACTGTCAGCACAATCAAAATCAGAAACTTCACCAGGGGGCGGTGGCTCATGCCTGCAGTCCTAGCTGCTCAGGAGGCTGAGATTTGAGGATCACAGTTCAAAGCCAGTCTGGACAGGAAAGTCCATGAGACCCTTTATCTCCAGTTCATCATAGAAAAAGTGGTGATGAGGCTCAAGTGGTAGAGTGCTAGCCTTGAGCAAAAGGACTTAAGGGAGTTCAAGCCCCCAGGACTAGCAAGAATAAGTAAAGAAAAAAAAATTAGAAGCTGCTCGTCTCCCCGTATTTGTTGACAGTCACCCGTCTCCTCCCCAGCCCGCTATGGGTTTGCCTGTTTTGCATTTGCTGAAGCTGGGATTGCGTGCATGTGGCCTTTAGGTTGTAGCCTCTGTGCTGAGGCTTCCATGCCTGTCCTTGGACAGTACAGCCCACTTGTGAGCTCCCGTGGTGTGGCATGCGGTGTTCCTCGTGTTCATAGCCAGTGACATGCTACCACATGGCCAGGCTTCCTGCCGTGCCACCTGGCACGTGGTCTCGCCTCCGAGCAGGTTGACATTGGGACACCTAGGGTGGCCCGTCACCAGCAGTGCTTGCTCGGTACCTCTTGTCTGCAGGCCCTGTGGCTCTGTCCACAAGGGTGAACCCTCCACCAAGGCAGCCCTGCCCGGTTCACTTGTCAGAGCTAAGAAATGTTTGTTGTTGTTGTTGTTTTTGGTCATGGGGCCTGAACTCTGGGCCTGAGCGCTGTTCCTCAGCTCTTCAGCTCAAGGCGAGCGCTCTACCACTTGAGCCACAGCACCACTTCCAGTTTTCTGGTGGTTCATTGGAGACCTGCCCGGGCTGGCTTTGAACCTTGGTCCTCAGATCTCAGCCTCCTGAGTAGCTAGGATGACAGGGGTGAGCCACTGGCGCCTGGCTAGAAATAATGTTTTAAACTGGGCTGGGATGAGAATCACTTGTTGGGGTCACCACCACCCCCCTTTAAAACATGACTCACTTTCCCTTCACTTGACTTTGTCGCCCTCCCTTGGACAGGTCAGCAGAGCCCACCGACTTCCTGGCACTCTTTGAGGGCAGCACCGGTGAGAGGAGGGTGGGCAGCAAGGCGTGTGGCGAGCAGGGGGCCACATGGAATGTCCTGGTAAGCGGGCACGCGCAGCGGCCCCTAGTCCTGGTGGTCACTACATGTTCATTTGCTGGTGGGAGAAGCTATGGGAAAGGGGGCTGCAGGGCAGGGCTGTTGGGGAGGGGGGCACCGGAAGGAGCGGGGCTGCCTGACAAGGGCCTGCTGTTGGGTGAGTGGCAAGTGATCAGGGCTCGGGTGTCTGGGACTCACAGGATGACCAGCCCAGGAGCCTCACCTTGCCAGCCAGCGGCCCAGGTTCTAGGTCCCCGGCAGGCCCACGGAGGAAAGAAAGCATCCTGGCACCCAACTTCACTGCCAACAACAGGTAGATCAGCCCCGCAGGGGCTGGGAGGCTGAGCACCAGAGCCTGCATTGCTGTCTGTCGTGGCCAGGTCAGGAGCAGGGCAGGCAGGAAGGAGTGGCTCTCTTTTCCCAGGACTCCAGGCTGTGGGGCCCCCACAGTAGCATATGCTTTCCAAGCAAGAATCGTGGAGGTTGAGCTTCGAGGCTCCAGGTGCCTGGAGGGGACCGCGCCACCTCGGATGCCGAGTCCACCCCAAGGCTGGGCCTGCACTGGGTGCTGGGAGCCCAGCTTGCCAAGGACATGACAGATCCCAGAGCATGGCTGGGAGGCCAGGCCGGGTGCTGGAGAGCCTTAGCCACAGCCACCGACGGGCTGCGGGCCCCTCCACGGGCCCCTGCCTCGAGCCGGGCTTGGCCCCGGGCTGTGAGGGACAGGGCGCATGGCTGGCGTCACAGTGCAGAGACAGGGGCTCTGCGCCAGGCCCGTGCTGCGCTCCATCCTGGTCCTTACCTGTCTTTTTGGCAGAAGCAACAAGGGGACCGTAGGCAACTGCGTGACCACCATGGTGCACAACCGCTACGCCCCCTCGGAGAGGCCGCCCCCCCCCAAGAGCTCCAACCAGACAGCCCCCTCCCTCAAGTGAGTCCACACACCCTCCCCAAGGGCCACAGGACCTGGGATGGGACCTGGCCCTGGGTGCTGGCTGGGCTCTGCCTGGGCGGGAGGCAGGAAGCAGACCCAGCAAGGCCAGGACTGAAGCCCAGGGCGGTGCCCTGCCGAGAAGCCACATCCAGAGCCCCCAGGCATGGAAGGCGCCCGGGAGCCAGGGAGACCCCGAGTCCCTGTCCTACAGTCTGTGCTTGTGTGGCATCTGAGAACACCAGATTGACAAAATTAAGAGCACTGACCTAGGATCAGCACCTCGTGACGGGTGGCCCGTGACCGCGCAGTGGGTGGAAGGGCTGGCTTGCACAGGCCCGGGGCCTCCAGCGTGGCGCATGGGCAGAGCCGTCCCTGATGGTGAGCGCGGCTCCTCCCCTTCTGTGTCAGCAACATCATCAAAGCAGCGGCCAGTGAGGCCGGTGAGGGCGGCAGCTTCTCAGAGCCCCGGAAGAATAACTCGGGTGGCGTCCATGAGGCCCGCAGCGCCACCGGGCTGCTCAGGCGGAAGGAGGTGACGGAGGAGGAAGCCGAGAGGTGCGTGACGTGGGAGACGAGACTCTGGTGGTCCACAGCCGCTGGCGGGAGCTTCCCTGTGCTGTGTCTCAGTGAAGCCAGAGACCCCGCGGTGCCCCCATGTGAGACGCACAGGGGGAAAAGGCAGAAAGCGAGCCAGACCACAGCGCTGCTCTTTGATGCTGATGGGAACGTTCTAGAACTAGACGGTGAACAGAGCTCTGTAAATTTGCTAAAAAAAGTCTTTAATTATATGCTTAAAATGGGTGGATTTTAGTGTGGAAGTTATACCTCAGTGAAACTGGTGATTAAGACACATTGAAAGAAAGAATACAAAGCTGAGAGGAACAAAACACCCCCGGGCTGTGTCCTTGAGAGGAGCCCGGGGCACAGGGGCTGCTGCCGGGGCGGGCGCCTCCCGCCCGCTTCAGCCAGCCCACCCGCTGTGTGGCCAGACCCTCCCCCGTCCATGCCCAGGTGGTGCCCAGGCAGACGGGCCTCTGGGACAGCACGGGCCCCACTGCAGCACGATGGCCCTCCGGTTGGCATGAGCATCGCAGGTCCTCTGTGGGTGACTTTGTGGTGGCCACACTCGCCAGGGCTGATGTTTTCTTGTTTACTCAGCTTCGTTGGGTGTAATTCCGATTGTAAAATGCACCTGTTTATGAATGTGTACAGTGGTGTCCACAGATTCGGCACCCCCAGGAGCCCCTGGCCCCTCTGTCCACCCCGTCCCTGCCCTGGCCTAGTTGCTTATCTCGGGGTCTCCCCTCTTCTGGGCTTGCTCTAGCCATGGTGCTCTGCTGGCCGGCCCCGGGGCTGCCCTTGGTTCCCAGGCAGCACACTGCTGCCAGCCTGTGGACACCTGGGCTGTTTGTGCTTTGAAGGCCACCAGATGTGAGCAGATACTCCCTGGCAGCTCCTCCCATGGGAGGTGTGGGGTGTTAGCAGCGCCAACACAGAAGGGCTGAGGAGAGTGGCTGTCCAGCTGCCACCAGCTTCCCTCTGCTTGTCTAGATGCTGGTGTGCAAGTTCCTGCAGGCGTCTGGGGTCAGAGGGCACCAAGGTGGCCTGGGCCTGAGCCCTGTTCTCTGGGGCAGGTTTATCCTCCAGGTAAACCAGGCCGCGGTCACCATCCAGCGCTGGTACCGCCACCAGGTGCAGCGGCGCCAAGCAGGAGCAACAAGCCTTGAGCACCTGCTGGCATCTAAACGAGAGGTCAGTATGAGGGTGTGAGCTGCCTCAGTTTCCCCCACCCCAGCTCCCCCCCCCCCCAAGGTTGGGGGCAGAGGCCTTGGGGCCTGGCCATGTCCAGGTGGAGTTGCTAGGACAGTAGAAATGAGACCTTGAATACCCTATAGGTGCACACCCCACCTGTGCCACAATTTCCCCCCCCATCCCCCGCCTGTCCCTTGGGACCTGGCAAGTCCCAGGCATCAGGAGGAATAGCAGGCTCCCAGCCCTGATGAAGCGATGTCTCCCCTGCGGTGCCGCCCTCCACTACCTGGGGCTGGGGCTCAGCAGGCTCTTCTGGGGACTCGCATGGGTCAAGAAGATGCCTGGCTAGGTCCAGGGGCACTGTCCATCATACAGGTCTGTAGACCCCATAGCTTCAGCTTTCTTGGCAGGAGCAGCGGCAGCAGCCAGGCAACAGGAGCTTCCTAGACCTGCACCGGCAGAAGGAGGTGGCAAGGAAGAAGGCGCGGGAGGAGAAGGCGCGCCAGGCAAGGCGCGCAGCCATTCAGGTGCCTGAGCAGGGCCCTGCAGCCCCGGGCGGCCCTGAGTCTGACTGTGATGCCCCAGGACATTGGGGCCCTGGGTAGCTGGCTTTCCCAAGGCCCGGGACCCAGCCTTTTCTGTGCTGGCAGGAACTGCAGCAGAAGCGAGCCCAAAAGTCAGGAGAAGCTGAGTGTGGAGGGCCCAAGGACCACCGGGAGGCCCGGGTGCTGGGGCAGCCGTGGCCCACACAGGAGCCACCCCCCATGCCAGGCAGCACGGGCCAGGTCCTCAAGGCCAACAACGCTGGTAAGCAGCTCTCGGCCCACCCAGCCTGGTCCTGAGGGTCCAGCATGGCCGGGGGCGGCTTCCACCCATGGGGCTGGGGCCTGGGTTCCCCCTCCGCAGACTTCCCGGTTCTGGTGGAGGTGGGGGGGCCCTTGAGAGAGCCCAGGCCTTGACATGCAGTCCTGGCCTTGGCACCCAGAGTAGAGGCCCAGAGACCAGGGGCTGCCCCTCTGCCCCACCTCGCCCCCAGGACTACGGAGTTGTACCCACCTGTATGCCCACAACTTCCTCCTGGGCTCTTCCAGACTTAGGGCAAGGCCCTGGGTGGGTGACACCCTGTTTTGTCCTGTAGGTATCAGTGCATGCCCAGCAGCCCCCAGAGACCCCTCCCCGCCCGCCTCCCCCCCTGACTCGTCTCCAGAGCCCCGGCTGTCTCCGGAGGACAAGCCACAGGCCTGGGCGTCACCAGTGTCCCATCCCGCCCAGGACACGTTAGCCCCAGAGGTGGGTCTGGCAGGCCTTTGTCCTGTCCCCTCCTTGGCCATGGGGTCCCAGAGGGCTCTGCCTCTGATGGGGGCTGGGGCTGGGGGAGGGAGGGCGTCTTGCCACAGCTCTGGTATCCCGCCAGGTTTTCACACCTGCCGAGGTGGGGCTCCATGCCCTGGCCACTCAGGCCAGAGGCAGGACACTGACCACACAGGGAGCCTGAGGGCCTGGTCTCACTGCTAGCTGGACCAGGAGTTCCACAGGCATCCCAAGATGCTTTCACGCACTTGGCCGGGCTCAGGCAGCTGCCATGAGCGATCGAGAAAGGCCGAGCCCTGCGTTGCCATGGCTGGCCTTGTGCGTGGAGACCGCTCTCTGCCAGCAGCAGCTTTGTGGCTCTCCCTCTCTGCCTGTGTGCTTCAGGATGTCCACTCCCCAGACATGCTCCGTGAGGGCGCAGGGCCTGTGGGCCCCTCCAGGAGCAGGGCCAAGCCCAGGGCCACGTTGGATGAGCTGCTGGACACACTGAGGCTGCTGGAGGAGGAGCCTGAGCCGCTGCCCCGCCCCAAGCCCTACCACAAGGACAAATACTCCTGGATTGACGAGGTAACTGGGCACCTCACTCCTCGTTTTAATTAAGACCCTGGCAAGGGCCAGAGAGGGCACTGACCTGGCCTGGCCCTCCCTGAGGTGACCGTGGTGCATACCCCCTGACAGTAGAGCCCGAGGCCCCTGGAGAAGTCCTGTCCCTAGCTGCCCTCTCCCGCCCACCGTACCACAAACCGACGACAATCTGTTTCTTGAGGTTGGGGAAGTTGGCATTTATTTCACTGAATAGGTTCTCAGTGCCGTTAGTTTTACTTTCTTCTTCCTCATCTATCCTTATAATTTAGAGCTTTGATTTTTACTTTTTTTTTTTTTCTTGGACAGAACTCAAGAGTTCTTGAACGTCCCTTTGGTATCTTCCAGTGGTTTCTTAAGGTCTTGGATCTAATTCCTCTGCTTTACCTTCAACTTCTTACACCTGCAGGAGGAGGATGCCAGCTCCCTGACTGCTGACAACCTGGAGAAATTTGGGAAACTCAGTGCGCCCCCTGCCCCCATGGAGGATGGGGTACTGCTCTCCGAGGCCAAGCTGCAGAGCATCATGAGTTTCCTGGAGGAGATGGAGGCGTCCACACAGGACCGGCCAGCTCCCCAGCGGGAGGTGCCACATGCCAGGCCCTGCTGGTCCCCGGCGGGAGGTGCCAGGCCCTCAGTGGGGAGAGGTCTCTTGCCAGGTCTCTGAAGCTCCAGCTCTACTCTGGGCTCGGGCAGGACCAGCTTGTCCTGACCCAGACTCCTGTCTGGATGCTCACCTCAGGGTCTCCATAAGCTGTCCAGGTTGATGGTCCTGGCATCGTGGGCCAGCCCTGGTGTCTTCCAAGCTGGGTCCTGCCTGTCACCCTGGCAGAGCGGCTGTGACCGGGCCTTGTGGAATGATCACTGGTTCTGTTAGATAGGCAGACATGATGTTTTTGGAGGTCTGTGCTGGTAATGGAGGCACTGTCCTCCTCCAGCACTGGATGATACAAGTGGTCTCCGTTGGGGTGACCTGTCCACTACCCAGCATGCCTCACGTCTGACCCAAATGCACTGAGTGTAACCAGAGGGCAGGCAGCCACCTCCACCAGGCAGGCAGTCGGTGTGGGCTGCCTCCCTGAGGGTCGCCGTGTCCCGTGTCCTCAGGGCCGGACACAGGAGGCGGGGCGGGGCCGCTCGGAGCTAGCCTCAGAGGGGAGCGTCTCCATCATGCGGCTGAAGCTGGAGGTGGAGGAGAAGAAGCAGGCCCTGCTGCTGCTGCAGAGAGCGCTGGTGAGGGAACTGGCACCGTTAACACCATCAGCCTGGCGGGTGCCCTGCCAGCACTGTGCCCCAGCGGCCTCGGCCGCCGCGTTGTCCCCAAGGCTGTCTTGTCCCTGGGCCTCTGGTGAGATCCCAGTGCCAGTGCCGCCCTCCTGTGTGTGCCCCGCGCAGGCCCAGCAGCGGGACCTCACCCTCCGGAGGGTCAAGGAGACCGAGAAGGAGCTGAGCCGGCAGCTGCGGCAGCAGAAGGAGCACTACGAGGCCACCATCCAGCGACACCTGTCCTTCATCGACCAGGTGACCCCTGAGCCCCATGGGGGCCGTGGGCATTGGGGAACAGGGTCCAGCTTCATACTTGGCACGCATCATGCCGACTTCCAGCGCCAGAGTCTTCCATACCACTTTACGCAGTGCTGCCTGCAGGGTGGTGCCCAGGGGCCGCCAGCCACCGCTGGCCCCGCGAGGCCGACCGTGGCAGTGCATAGAGCGTGGCCAGCAGGTCCCTTGGGTTCTGCCGCTGGCTGGCCCAGCAGGCGACTCCCTGGGAACCCATTCTGAACCTTCCCTGAGCTATATGTGGCCATCGTGTCGAGGGAAGCCACTCCTGGCCTGCTGGCAGCCTGGGCTCCCCCAGTAAGAATGGTGGAAGCTTCTAGACTGCCTGGGCCTCACAGGCCCCCTAGTCAGACCCCAGTCCACAGAGAACACTTGGCCTGGAGTTTGGCTTCTGGTGGCTACTCGAAGCCCAGGTCGGTCCAATCCTGGTGTCTGGCCTGCGGCCCTCAGACAGGGCTTGCGGCCAGCTCTCCCTACCCCTGGCAGGCGGTGGACTCCTGCAGGCCAGGTGGCTGTGGGTGACCAAGTGATTCTCATCCGAGGAGGATCTTGGTGGTGTCACCACAGGGGCTGAGGCCACATGGCCCCTGGGGCCCTGTGCCCACGCGCACTCACGGCGGGAGCCTGTGTCCATGAGCGCTCAGGCTTCCTGCTGGCCTCAGGTTCCAGCCACAGACCCAGGCAGGGTGTGCCCCCGGAGGGCCTCGTGTTGGGCTGGGGGGCTCTAAAGCCCCCCCTTTGCTGCCACAGCTGATTGAAGACAAGAAGGTCCTGAGCGAGAAGTGCGAGGCGGTGGTGGCGGAGCTGAGGCAGGGCGACCAGCGGTGCCGGGAGCGCGTGGCGCAGATGCAGGAGCAGCACGAGCTGGTGAGGCGCCCGCTGGGCGTGGTGCTTCCCGCGCAGCCAGGCAGGGCTGGGGTCCTCAGCCCTCCTTAGGGCCCGAAGACACAGGCGCGGCCTCCCCAGTGTCTTCTCCTGCTCCTCCTCTCCCGAGGTGCATCCAGGTGTCCAGGAGAGCCAGGCCATCATAGGCCTCATGTGAGGTCACCCGCCCCTTACAACGGGGCAGGCTGTGGACCCACAGCGGGGGAAAAGGTAGCTCAGCAGTTCATCTGCCTTCTGTGCATCCCACCAGCACGGACCTGTCAGTCTCGAGCCTGCCTCTGACCAGAGATGGAGGCCAGGCCCTGGGTGGGGGGTGTCCAGCACTGTTTAAGGCCCTCCCCTCCCCTGCCCAGTACCCGGGGCTGAGGACTGCCAGCCACTTGGGAACCAAGGGCTGTTGCTGGTGTCAGGCTGGGCGCCCCTCTTGGGGCTGGACCCCTGCGGGCTGGGTCCCCGGGGGTCTCAGGTAGTGAGCTAGACTCTCACCCTTCCGTGTGACCTTGGCCTCTAGGAGGCTGAAAGCTCTCTGGAGCTGAAGCTGCGTACGCAAGGAGCAGGGGCCTCCTCGCTCACGCCTGTGCTCTTGCTCCTAGGAGATTAAGAAGCTCAAAGAACTCATGAGCGCCACAGAGAAGGTGCGCAGGGAGAAGTGGATCAATGAAAAAACAAAAAAGATCAAGGAGATCACCGTGCGAGGTGGGGCCTCCTGCCTGCCTGGGCGCTTTGCTTTAGAGAGAGGGCGGGAGCATTGCACTGTGCCACTGTGCCCAAACCTTCCTGAGCGAGGCTCCGCCTCAGCGGCCGACCCCACCCCAGCTGGGGGCTTCTGGGCCGCAGAGGTGGAAGTAGGGTGTCCGTCCCGCCTGCTCCCTGGGAGCAGGGGTGGGGAGGAGGGACTGGGGCCTCTCAGGACCCTGTCTGGAGGAGCCCAGCGCCTTGGCTGGTGGTGGTTCCGGTCCACTGACCCCCGGGGTCCTTGATGCCCCCACCGGGCGGCACCGGGGCAGGGTGTCTGGGTGGGGCTGGGGGAGTCTCCACACGAACACAGGCGCGGCTGGGCTTCCGGCTGGACCCTCCTGCTGGACCCTCCTGCTGCCCTGCCACCGGTCCCCCCAGGCCTGGAACCCGAGATCCAGAAGCTGATTGCCAAGCACAAGCAGGAGGTGAGGAAGCTCAGGGACCTGCACGAGGCCGAGCTGCTGCGGCGCGAGGAGCAGGCCGCCCAGCGCCACCTGCGCCAGGCGGAGGAGCTGCGGGAGCACTTGGAGCAGGAGAAGGAGGCGCTGGGTCAGCAGGAGCGGGCCCGCGCCCAGCAGCGGTGGGTATCGGCCGGGGCGGGGAGGGCCGGGCAGATGGGGCGGGGCTCTCGGCTGCTTTGATGCCTCCTCCCGGCTGTGTCAGGGTCTCTGCCCAGCTTTCGGGGGGGAGGTACGTGGGGAGGCTGTGGTGTGTCCCACCACTGGGCCTATGCCAGGACTTTCTCCTGACAATTGTCATGGCTTGTGACTGTTCTTAGATGTCTAGACTTGAAGTAGCAGCAGCACTGAGAACTGCACACTGCTGGGGACAGCCCATTCCTTCTTTTCCTCAGTCTCGGAGGGGAGCTCAGCCCAGCACCATTCTGGGGGTACTGGGCTGTGCCTTCAAACCCTGGAACTGGGGGGCCAGGGGCCAGTGACCACTGGGCACCCCTTGTATGGCAGTGTCCCCGGGGCAGTGCCCTGTCGGCAGGGGTGGGCCGGGCTAGCCCAGGTGGAGTGGAGCGGTCTCTGCGGCAGGGGTGGGCAGGGCTAGCTCAGGTGGAGTGGAGTGGTCACTGCAGCAGGGGTGGGCAGGGCTAGCTCAGGTGGAGTGGAGTGGTCACTGCAGCAGGGGTGGGCAGGGCTAGCTCAGGTGGAGTGGAGCGGTCTCTGCGGCAGGGGTGGGCAGGGCTAGCTTAGGTGGAGTGCAGTGGTCTCTGTGGCAGGTGTTGGGGCAGGGCTAGCTCAGGTGGAGTGGAGCGGTCTCTGCAGCAGGTGTTGGGGCAGGGCTAGCTCAGGTGGAGTGGAGCGGTCTCTGTGGCAGGGGTGGGCAGGGCTAGCTCAGGTGGAGTGGAGTGGTCTCTGTGGCAGGGGTGGGCAGGGCTAGTTCAGGTGGAGTGCAGTGGTCTCTGTGGCAGGTGTTGGGGCAGGGCTAGCTCAGGTGGAGTGCAGTGGTCTCTGTGGCAGGGGTGGGCAGGGCTAGCTCAGGTGGAGTGGAGCGGTCTCTGCGGCAGGCGATGCTGGAAGGTGGGGCCAAGTGCAGACACTGGGCACACTGTCCTGCCCCCAGGCTGGGGAGGCAGCAGCTGGCGTGAGGGTCGTCGTGGCCTGGCCGGCCGGCCTGGGTGCTGGGGGCTGAGTGCTCTGGGGAGGGTGGCAGCGGCGATGGCTGGCCCTGCGCCACAGCCGAGCATTCGGCACTGTCCCCGTCGTCCCCAGGTTTGAGCAGCACCTGGAGCAGGAGCAGCGAGCCCTGGAGCAGCAGCGGCGCCGGCTGTACAGCGAGGTGGCCGAGGAGCGGGAGCGGCTGGGCCAGCAGGCAGCCAGGTGCCACCTGGGGTTACCGTCCCCCACACGCACACACGCAGTGCCCCGCATGCCCACCCTGGGCCCACTGACCCTTGGCTGGCCCACAGGCAGCGGACAGAGGTGGAGGAGCTGCGGCAGCAGCTGGAGGAGAGAAGCGCGGCACTGACCAGAGCTCTGCGGGCTGAGTTTGAGAAGGGCCAGCAGGAGCAGGAGCAGCAGCACCAGGTCCCCCCCCCCTGCGCCCCGCATTTCCTCCAGAATGGGCCGCTGCCCTGGCCAGCCCCAGCTCCCTTGGCCACACTCGGGTAGGGCCTAGGGTGGGGTGGGGCAGCTCACGCCCTGTCCCCTACAGATGGAGCTGAAGGCCCTGAAGGACCAACTGGAGGTAGAGAGACAAGCGTGGGTGGCCAGCTGCGCCAAGAAGGAGGTAGTGCCGCGCGAGGGTGGGCTCCAAGTCCGGGGCCTCCGGGGGCTGCTTTGGCTCAAGCCACGAGCCGCAAGGCTCTGAGAAGGGTAGAGTTGGGAAGAGGAGGGGACAGAGCTGTGCCGGAGATCGGGGCAGATGTTGTGAGGGACCACCGCCTGGGCTGCCGCTGTCTCCCTTGGGAATTTTCAAATGACGTCCAAGAGGCCGATGATGCCCGTCCTCGGCTGATGAAGCAGTCGGGCTAGTTCCAGACCCAGACAGTGCCGTCTGCTTATCTAGGGCCATGCTAATGACCTGGCTGGGGCCCTCCCTGCCCACAGGTCACCTCATGCCCCTGTGCCCAAACCAGGTTCTGAAGACTGCCTGGAAGGCTGGGGGTGGGCACACCCCCTTTGTCCCTTCAGATCTGTGCATCTCTCTGGGGCTCAGGGCAGAGACCCCTCCCTCCCAGGAGCCCATGTGGCTGCCCGTGTCCTCAGTTTCCCCATCCTGTGTGTCCCCACAGGAAGCTTGGCAGCTGAACCGGGAACGAGAGCTAAAGGAGGAGCTCCGGAAGGGCCGAGACCAGGAGATCGAGCTGGTCATCCATCGGCTAGAGGCCGACATGACACTGGCCAAGGAGGAGAGCGAGAGGGCAGCGGAGAGCCGGTGAGGGCCCCCCCCCCACGCAGGGGAGCAGTCCAGCCCCAGAGGAGGGGGGGCCGGGCCGCAGCCCCAGGGGAGGGGGGCCAGGCTGCAGCCCCAGAGGAGGGGGGGCCAGGGGAGGCCGGGCCGCAGCCCCAGAGGAGAGGGGGCTGGGCCGTAGCCCCAGGGGAGGGGGGCTGGGCCACAGCCCCAGAGGAGGGGGGGCCAGGGGAGGCCGGGCCGCAGCCCCAGAGGAGAGGGGGCTGGGCCGTAGCCCCAGGGGAGGGGGGCCGGGCCGCAGCACCAAGGGCGCAGCTCACCACGCAGGGGCCATTCTGCCCCTCGCCCACCAGGGTCAAGCGTGTGCGGGACAAGTATGAGACAGAGCTCTCAGAGCTGGAGAAGTCAGAGCGGAAGCTTCAGGAACGGTGCTCGGAGCTGAAAGGGCGGCTGGTAGAGGCTGAGGGGGAGAAGGAGCGGCTGCAGGCCCTGGTGCGGAAGAAGGAGAAGGAGCTGGAGGAAGCACAGGCCGTACGGCCCCGCCCCGGCCCCTCCCCTGCCCAGAGCCCACCACGGTGCTGGCCCACCCGTGGCCCACTCGTGGCCCTGCCCGCTGGCCCGCTCACCGTCCCTTCTGCCGCCAGGTGAACGCTCAGCTCTCAGGTGAGCGCAACAACCTCACCCAGGTGGTCCGCCAGGAGTTTGCTGACCGGCTGGCGGCCTCGGAGGAGGAGAAGCGGCAGGTCAGGGCAGAGCTGGCTGAGCTGCGAGCCCGTCAGCAGCTGGAGCTGGACGAGGTGCACCGGAGGTGGGTGGCTGGAGCCCGGGGAGGGGTGGAGGGTGTAGAGAGGGGGGCCGGGTCCCTCCTTCCCATGACACAGCGGGCCCATGGGTGGTGTCTGGTTGGGTTCCAGACTTGTTCCTGGCAAGGCTGAGCCGGCTCCCTGGTTCCCGAGGGCTGGCTCTGCGCTTGCCCAGGGAGCACCAAGTCAGTTGGGTCTGAGGAGGCCGCCATGTGGGCCTCTGTGGAGAGATCTGGGTGGAGTCCTTGTGTTGTGTCCTGCGTGTGCCCCAGACGGGCAGGCAGGGCCCCACCCTGCAGCATGGCCCCGCATGGGCCTCCGCCACTGCCCTGGGCTCTGGCCCCCTGGGGATGGTGTTGGTGGTGCGCGGCCGCGGGCTGGCTGGGCCGAGCCGAAGCCCCGCTGTGCTGCCACAGGGTGAAGGCCGCCCTGGCCAAGAAGGAGGAGGCGGTGAACAGTCTCCGGAGACAGCACGAGGTGGGTGTGTGCCCGCGCCCGGCTCCCAGCCCGCCACGGCGGGGGCCGCCCAGGCCTGACCCTGGCGTGTGCCACAGGCTGCAGTGAAGAGGGCCGACCACCTGGAGGAGCTGCTGGAGCGGCACCGGCGGCCGCTGAACGCCAGGTGACGCTGTGGCACAGACACCGGGCGGAAGTGGACGCCTGCCCGGGATGGGTGTCCGGGCCATCTCCCACCACGGCGGGGCTGGGGCTTCCCTCCTGCTCAGGACGCCGCTGTCTGCATGCCCGCAGCTGTGCTTCGGTTCGGTTTCGTTTTTAATAAGTAAAATGTCATTGTTTCTTAGTATTGTGTCACCTGCCTTCTCTTTTTCCCCTGGGTTGGGACAGGGTGGTAGGTGGGACTGCAGGGCTGAGGACCCCACAAGATGACCAGGCCGAGGCTCTGGCCTGCAGTACTGGAGTGGACCTGGCCAGAAAGCAGTGGGGGCCGGCAGCCCCTGCCTCTGCCCCATGGCTTTCCCTGCCTCATCCCTGAGGCCCCTTAGACCGAGTGGATGCAGGTGGATGCAGGGCGCATCGCCACACTGTGAACCCTCCTTGGGACTCCAGGGGCAGTGGGCACCCATCCGGAGACCCCTACCCAAGTGGGCCAGCAGGCTCTGCAGAAATGGGGGCACCTGCGGGGCCGGCGGCTGATGGGGAGCAGTTGCGCCCTCCTCCCACGTGGGGGTTGGTTGAGATGCCGCCCAACGCAGCCCGGCCCAAAGGCCGCCTCGAGCCCATCTCCCGTCTACCACCGGGCACACAGCTGCTGCTCGTCTCTCCCAGACCCTGCACCAAGCAGGTGCCCAGCTCCTCCGCCCCTGCTCACAGGGCCCTGCCCAGAGGAAAGCTGGCGTGGCTCCTGCCCTCAAGACAGCTACTCAGGAGGCTGAGATCTGAGGATCGAGGTTCAAAGCCAGCCCGGCAGGAAACCACCAGAAAACTGGAAGTGGTGCTGTGGCTCAAGCAGTAGAGTGCTCTCCTTGAGCTGAAGAGCTGAGGGACAGCACACAGGCCTAGAGTTCAGGCTCCACAACCGACCAACCTTCCCCCATCCTCCCCCCCAAAAAAAGACAGCATCTGTGACCACAGAGGCAGCATCTTCCCCTCCCCGCGCACTGCACAGCAGGGCCTCTGCTCACTACCCAAACCGGGAGCAGGAGCCCAGGATCTCAGGTAAGGAAGACAGACCAGCCTCCACTCCATGGAGTCTGTGAGGGCATGTGTGCGTGAGGCCCAGGCCAAGTGCAAGGGCTGTGTAAGAGCCACAGAGGCACGCCGGCATCACAGAGCCGTGACTAGATGCAGCTGGGCCCAGGTCCGCGGGCAGAGCAGGGCAGGGCAGGGCAGGGCAGGGCAGCAGAGGTGTCACCCACAGCCTTCCCTCCCCGCCCGCCCTGCCTGCAGCTGCTCCCCTCTGAGCCAGTCCTACAGCGCCTGCAGCCAGCCTGGTGTGCGGGGAGGGGTTGAGCAGGTGAGGGGGGGGAGGGGGAAGGGGGCGGCTAAGGAAGGGGGTCTCAGCCCTCATTAGCTGTCGAACGGTGGGGGGGGGGGGGTATGACCAGTTGCTAAACTAAGGCATTTTTGCAAGTGAGGTATTGAGCGGATGAATACGTAGGAGGACCTCTGCAGAGACAGTGGGCACCAGTGGAGAGCAGCGGTGGCCTCCAGCAGGAACTCACTGAGCGTGTGCTGTGTAAGCTCCTGTTGGGTCATTGCTTCCTCCTGCCTGAGCTCTGGCCTTCGTGCTTTCCTGATTCTTTCATTAGCCCCTCCGTTGCTTCCTCCATGGCTCACATCCATTCCTCAGCTCGCTTGTTCCTCGCTCAACATGCACCAGGTGACCCACTCACACACATGCCTGCCGGCACCGCGTCTCCTTGCAGTGGGTTTGTTTGCAGTACAGGAACCCCAACCCAGGACCTTACACTTGCTAGGCGAGCATTCTACTGCTTGAGCCACGTCCTTAGTCTATTTTTATTTGGTTTTTGAGATAGAGTCTTATTAACTGCCCAGGCTGGCTCTGGTGTGTCTCACCAGACCTAGAAGGTAATTTTTTTTTTTTTTTTTTTTTTTGTTGGTCATGGGGCTTGAACTCTGGGCCTGAGCGCTGTCCCTCAGCTCTTCAGCTCAAGGTGAGCACTCTACCACTTGAGCACAGCGCCACTTCCATTTCTGGTGGTTTATTGGAGGTAAGAGTTTCATGGACTTTCTGCCCAGGCTGGCTTTGAACCGCGATCCTCAGATTTCAGCCTCCTGAGTAGCTAGGATTACAGGCGTGAGCCCACTGGCGCCCAGCTTAGGAGGTAATTTTTTGTGTCTATGTGTGCCAGTCCTAGGGCTTGAACTCAGGGCATTCCCTGAGCTTTTTTACTCAAGTCTGGTACTCTCCCACTTGAGCCACAGCTCTACTTACTGCTTTTGTTTGGGGGGGGGGGGGAGTCCAGTCGTGGGGCCTGAACTCTGGGCCTGGGCGCTGTCCCTCAACTCTTCAGCTCAAGGCTAGCGCTCTACCTTGAGCCACAGCACCACTTCCGGCTTTTTTTTTCTGCTTATGTGGTGCTGAGGAATCGAACCCAGGGCCTCAAGCATGCAAGGCAAGCGCTGTACCACTGAGCCACCTTCCCAGCCCCTCTTGCTTTTTGGAGGAAGGAATCTGACAAACTTTCCTGCCCAGGCTGGCTTTGAAGTGCAATTCTCAGCTCTCAGCCTCCTGAGAATCCAGGATCACAGGCAAGAGTCCCTGGTGCCCAGCTTGTATTTTGTTTTTGAGTCAGGGTCTTGAGAGCTTTGTCCCGTCCCCCTTCTGAATAGCTGGAACAACAGGCATGGAGCACCACAAAACTTCCTGTCCCAAGCGCTGGCGTCTGCACTTGAGGCCATTGCACATGCGCGCGCACAGATCCGCTGTGAGTCTTCATCATTACACACCTGGAAGTGCTTCCTGCAGCCTCTCCTTGGTCTGAGAGTACCCAAGCCACCCCAGCTTGCTCTCCTTAATGTTGGCATGGGGTTCCCTTTTCCTTTTTATTTAAGTCAGGCGAGAATAGCTCAGACCACTGCACAGTGTGGGCATCGCATGTGGTTCTTGGGTCTGGAAGGTAGTTAGGTGGGGGCGAGCTGGCTGTGAAAACGGCCTGTGGTTGGAGGCCCGGCTGGCTCCTCCTCCCAGAGGAGCTATAGCCAGCCGAAGCCCCCTCCCGACAGGAACCGAGGCCGGGGGTGCCGGGACCCTCCACGGCTCTTCAGATCCTGGGCATCGTGAGTGGAATGTGTGTGGCAGGGAGCCGTGGGCCATCTGTGCGCTCCCTTTTCTGATAACCCCAAGTCCTTGGTGCTTGGCTGGCTCATAAAAAAGAGAAGAGCTGGAGACCACTGGTTCCTACCCATAATCTGAGCTACTCATTGGGAAGATGGCAGTTCCAGGCCAGCCTGGGCAGAAAAGTCTGCCAGACTCCATTTCCTCAGAGAGAGGCTGACGCGGTGGCCATGTCTGCAAGCCCAGCACTGCGGGAAGTCTTGAGTAGGCAGTTGGAGGTCCAGGTGCAAACTTGGACGGGCTCGAAATCCCATGCTAAAAAAAATAGCCAGAGCTGGAGGTTTGGCTCTGCGGTATTGCATCAGCCTAGCAAGGGCAAGGCTCAGAGTTCAAGTCCCAGTACTACAAAAAGCAAAAAACAACCACCTCTAAAGGCGAGTATTCCCGTTGGTAGGGGAAAGAGCAGGGCCAGGAGGGTTCAGACCCCAGGGATAGCCCGCGGGAGTGAGTGCGTGCGTTGAGTGGGCGGTGGCGGTGGAGAGGAGGGGCCTCCACAGAGCTAAGGGTCGGGCCAGGCTGGGGGCACAGCGGTGCAGACGCCCTGGTGGAGCACCAGAACAGGCCCCTCACTTCCCACGGGCAGTACCAAGCTGCCCTCACCTGTCACTCAAACACTACCCCTAGGACAAGCAGGCTGGAGGGGGCCTGGGGCGGGGGTGGGGGGGTGGAAGGGGAGGGGAGGGAGGGGAGGGCGGGAGCTGCCTGGCACAGAGCAGCCACCGGCTGGGTGAGCACCGGTGAGCAGCGAGCATGGGCAGTACAGAGACCCAAGAAGTGTGCCCAGCGCCCGGGGGAAAGCTTGGGAGCCGAGAGTGTCTTGGGGCGAGGAGCATGGAGGAGGCAAGCCAAGAGCAGAGCCCAGAAGCCGAGGGCACAGGAGCTTCTGGAAGCTGCCCGCGAGGACTCAGGCACTGTGCCTCTCAGGACACCTGCCTGGCAACCCTGTGGCCTCATCCCAGTAGCAGCTCTGCGCCACCGTGTGTAGAGCAGGGGTGGGGGGAGCAGGTGTCTGGGCAGGCCCGCAGAGGTGGGGGTCAGGGGTGGGAGAAGGGGCCAATGCACACCCCTGCCTGCTGCTGTGTGTCTCCCGGGACCCTCCCACGCCCACCCCAGCTCACCCGCAAACACACAGGGCGCCGGCGCTCCTGTGAGCCGTTTCTCTTCCGCTTCCTGGCACAGGCCGCATCTACCCCATGACCTCCTGGAACTGGCGTGGGTGCGTCCGCTCAGGTCCGCATTCAGCCTTGGGAATTGACCCGGCAGGTCCTGCCCTCCACAGGCCTCCTGGCCACCCCGCCTTTGTCAGCACGCCACTCTTGGTCAGCCGCTCCTCCTTTGTGTATGTGTATATGTTTGCATGTACGTGTGTATGGACGTGTCCATATGCATGTTTGTATCTGTATATGTGTGTTCACATGCATGCATGTATATGTGTGTGTGTATGTGCTAGAACTGAGGCTTGAACTCAGGGCCTGGGCACGTCCCTGAGCTTTTTCTCCCAAAGCTTAGAGTTCACCACTTGAGCCACAGAGTCACTTCCAGCTTTTTGGTGGTTAATCAGAGATCAAGAGTCTCACAGACTAGCCGGGCGCCAGTAGCTCACACCTGTAACCCTAGCTACTCAGGAGGCTGAGATCTGAGGATCGTGGTTCAAAGCCAGACCAGGCAGGAAAGTCTGTGAGTCTCTGATCTCCAATAAATCACCAGAAAACCAGAAGTGGCGCTGTGGCTCAAGTGGTAGAATGCTCCCCTTGAGTTGAAGAGCTGAGGGACAGTGCCCAGGCCCAGAGTTCAAGCCCCACAACTGACCAAAAAAAAAGATCTTCCTACCTGCGCTGGCATGGAACTGGGATCCTCAGATCTCAGCCTCCAGAGGAGTACAGCTGTGGCCACCCGCACCCGGCTAGCTGCTTCTCCTTCAAACTTCGTGGCCACTGCGTGTGACGCGGCTCTGGTGGTGGGAATGAGTCTGCTCAGCTGGG